GGTTAAAATCAGAAGATACGTATATAAGTATATAAATATATATAAGTTGAGATAAAAAATGACTATAATTTTAGTAGGATTTCTTTCAGCATAGCTGAGCTTCCAGCAGCGAATATTTTTTGATGTAATGTGCGTAAGTTCAAACAGCTAATAAATCAAGTTTTGTTAACGACAATGTTGGTTATTCCCATTTCCAAGAAATATTTTATTGTTAGTCGCCATAGCGACATTTCAGCTCCTTCTGCTGATCCTTTTTCTACGTGTATAATGCTTTAGCCTTGGGAAACATAACTGATAAATTAAAAATCTTAAGAAAATAAGTAAAAAAGCTTGGAGGAAATTCATCCGTCACGAAACGACGGGTTTTTTTTTTTTGCCGAGGCGATACTTTCTCCTCGTGAACTTTCAATCGTGCGACTTCGCTCGCTATTGCTCAATTTTGTAAAAAATGTTCGTCGTATTACAATCAGGGGCCTATGTCGCGCCCGTCTGTCGAGTTTCTTTCGCGAATTTATCGGGACGCGCGAATCGGCGTACCCGCGTGAGAGAACAAATTGGATTTAAATTTATTCACGATCGATATATCTTCTCTTGATGTCACCGATCACAATTCATTACCGCTATCTGATAGCGGTGGATAATGTTTGTCGATGATTTATATCAACAAGGGCCATGAAAGTGATATACAGCAACGAGTCGTTATTAAGTAAGCAGATTGCCGCTAATTGAAATTGTCCCCTGTTGTGTCGCAATTAACGTATTATCGTTTTATGTACGGGGTGTTTTTCCACGTAAACGATGAAGATTGTGTCGATGTATTCCGCATGAGAGAAAGAAGAAGAAGAAGAAGAAGGAAATGTTACGTAAATACAAATCCGAAAGAGACTTCTCGTTAACAAATTGTTCCCGAAATAAGAATAAAGTTCCAAATAATAATTTTAATAATATAGTTGATTTGTATCGTGTCATTTTTTTAAATTTAAGATTATTTAAGACTATTATTTATAAATTATTATATCATTTTGGAAAGTTGATTTTTATAAACGTTCTTTACCTTTGTAATATATATTTTTTCTTGAGTGACTGTGTGTAATTATGTATGATATATCAGGGGGATCATTTTCCGTAAATAGATGGGTAATACTAGAATATACTTCGGCTTAATTTTGGATCTCGAAAATTTCCACAGATATTATTAACTTATTTATTTATTTATTTATTCAATCGGACTGAATTGCAAGCCGATCGAAATCATAAATCAGAGATCTCGATTGTGACATTTCCATCGTAACTCGATCGTTATTCATGAACAACAGGTAGCAGCTTGGTTTTTCTTGTTTTACAAGTATATTTCCAAGAATATATTATTTACTGTTTTGCCTCCCGACAATATTACTCGTGTTATTTTTTTGTCGTTTTTATGTATTCAGCCGAACAGCAAATCAGAGTTTCTCGATGACGGATAAAAATATAAATTCTATAAAAATGCCACGTATTCTTGTTATGAATGATTTTTATATATATATATACATATTTTTTTTTTATTTTGACATTTAACAGTTTAATTTATTCGCCGGAGCAGAGCCGTGCTAAGCTCTCTATTTCGCTACGACGACAACAATAACAACGATGACGGCGACGACGGCGACGGTCTGTGTTCGTCAATAAAATAGTCCGATTTTTCGTCGCTCTTCCGACAGTCGGAAAATTGCGTAATCGGCAACCCGACAACGGTGTCCGCTCTCGTAAAAATACCGGAGTATATAACGGAATATCCTCCTCGCTTGTCGCTCTGAAAAATGCGTTTTCGCACAGGGCTCGTCGTGGGTGGGCGTGTTAAAAGGTTGTCAATCGCTGTCAAAAATAATCCGGATAGACGCACGTAGCCGTCTCGACTCCCAATTTCTTCATCGTTCGAGCGCAGACGCGTCGATGTCGGAAACGACACGTCGGAAGAACGAAAGACGATGCGCGGATGCTGCGAACGAGAAACCTGTTCGTCGAAGATTGAAAATTGCAAGAAAACTCTCGGGATCTACACGATGCAATCGAATTGGGTCACCAGCCAAGAGGAACCTTTATTACTATATCGCGCGATTATTATCACACAAAGTGTCGCTATATCTGGCGTCAATCGACTAAATAAATTGGCGACCGAACTTTCTCACCTCTATTTTCAACGTTTGTCTGTTGTATTCGGAAAAATAAGAATCGTTACAAAAGTATATCACACGGTGAGACAGTAATTGTCACCGCTTTGAGAATATCACCGGAAAATACAAATATTTTATTTACCATTGGATGAAGACGAGAAACGTTTACACTTGCAGATTCTCGAAGTGATGGGCCATGGTAGGCATTAATGTACAAAATCTTCGTTCGATACATTTTCCCCTGCTCTCACATTTCGGAAATATTCGAAGCAGGTAATAGTTATTGCCTCGCTCTGTATAAAAGATTAACGAGGCGGCGGGAGAAATGCCTGGAAACGAACTCACTGGGGCTCGCTTTCTACTTTTTTCTTTTAGGGTTTCTAGGGGATTTCTTTTAAGGACGCATTTTTCCTACGCCGGAGGAAGTGTAATTGCGGAGCCGGAGCGGACTAATGCGGAATTAATTCCATGTTCTGGGTTTGAACGGCTTGACGAGCGGGATCCGGAATTCTTCGGTAGAATTCTCACGGGATCGTCGTGGGAGGGGCGAAATAAAAAGAAACGCGAGTCCCGAAAGCCCGCTCTCGCCTCGTTATCTACTGGAGAACGCTTCGATTGTACAGGTGGCTGCGCGTCTTGCGGCTTGCTCGTGGGCGGTGTGGGCGTATCGATCATTGATAGATCGCGAAGGTCGGCCGCGCTTCGCATCGATAAGGATCTCTGTGATTTCCGGCACGACTGTGTCGCGATCCCGAGCGCGTACAAGTCTTTGTTCCCCGCGACTGATGCACCGACGCTGACGACGCGAACGCTATGCGCACTTGTTTGCTCCTCGGTGAGCCGCAGCTGCGCGAAAATCCCGGCGCGATTTCTCCCTCCCTCTCGAAAAGGTAATGCGCTCTAAAATTATTTACCATATCGTTACGCGGTTTTCATTTATTATTACACGTATTTTCATGTCTTACACGGGGAGAATCCCGTTTTTGAAATAGATGTTAACGTTCAGATCGAGAAAGAGTCCTGTATTCAGCATGCTAGAATACAGAATATACCCGCGTCACTCGAGATATTTGAAGGAAGTGTGGAAAATTGTTCTGAACGTTGGAATAACCTTAACAGGTAATTAGGCTATTGGTGCTTTATTCGTACACGTGTTCGTCTTCGGGTATCGTAAAGTTCGTCACAGTGACGGAATACTGATTTCACGCATCGCTTTTGCTTTTTTAAACAAAGGGGTGATAAATCAATAATAAACGCGTAATGTAGTTGGAAAGTTCTAATCACTCAGTTACATTGCGCATTATAGAGAGCTGTTCTGCGTCAGTAACGGAATACTGATTTCACGCATCGCTTTGGTTTTTTAAGTAAAAAGGTAATAAATCAATAATGAATGCGTAATATAGTTAGAAAATTCTAATAACTCAGTTAAATTGCATATTATAGAGAGCTATTCTGCCGGCTGTCGAACGACAATTTTTTACAATGTCAGGTTAAGAAAGTGATGCAAAGATGTTACTTATTATGGCCAGTTTTACTTACACGATTGCCGTAATATAAAAATTTTCGCCTCAATATAAATACATCTCAGACGTACAATGTGGTGTGTATTGTTCGATGAGAACTCCCTCCGCGATTCAGTTCAATTTAGTTCTCCTTATTTTATCCTAACGCGATTGTTATTTCCTCGAAGGAACTTGAAACACGCGCGGAATACCTACGATTGTCTCGATCTTTTATTGGCCGCATAGTTCGCGTTAAATCTCAGTCGCGGTGTGTGTGTGTGTGTGTATTGCATTACATTGTCCTAGTTGCATTTGTTTCTCGCGTTTCTCGCGCGCCTCGGACGACAGGAGACGCGTGTGCGTTCACACAGAGAGCAAAAGATCGCTGCAAAAAGCGGCACAGCCGAGGGGGCAATAGGAACCTTAAAGTTTCGGGCGAGGTTCGTAGCCTGTAATTAAGCGAGTCAAGCACAAGCAGGGGTTGGGGGGGGGGGGGNGGGGTTGGGGGGGGGGGGAGCAAGGGTGGGGGCCGTGGATTTCTCGAAATAAATTATCCCGCGAAAACCGCAATCAAGGATGTCGTTCTATCGCCGACTACGGTCTCTGGAATTCCCAGGGAAGAGAAGCTCGTCGAGAGGAGGGGCTGATAAAAGAAAGAGAGAGACTGTTGTTGCACGCGTCCGTTATTGTTGTTGTATTGTCGGTGTTTCGAGGAGAGTTCACGAGCCCCTCCGTTATCGAAATGAATAATACTTGATACGCCGTTATCTCGAAAGTTACGATTCTATTTCGCGAATTATCGAAGTCACCGCGTCACCGTGCGTGCGTGCACCGGGTGTGTTCGGTAATTTATGACACAACCGGAAAAACGCAGCCGATAAGTGGATTTACGAACGATAAGTGCGTTTGTGTTGCGGAATGAATTGTTACTGCCGGGACATTCGCCGGCATGACGAAGCGGACGATGGATAGGAATTGCGACGGGGAAATTGTTCGAGTGCGACGAGGTTCGGTATTTTCTCGAAGCCGGTGCTAAATCGGAGTCTGCGTCGCGATTTCTGTTCAGTCGTGGCTCTCGCCGGGAAAGCACGATAATCATAAAATTGAGCGATTAGAGAAATAAGAAGAGGGAATATTAAAAGAAACGAAAGAAATCGAAGAAAAACTCTTCGTACGCCGAGATTTCACTCGATTTTCAAGATCAAAATTTGGTAGAAGAAGGGGGGGGGGGAAGCGAATTAGAAGCGCGTCGCGTCCTCGAAACGCTCAATTATACTTAGCGTGCTTTCAGGCTTAATTAGCCCGTTGATTCACGCGAGCGACGCGCTCTCGTGTGCGTTTCCAGGTTTAAATGGTGAGGAGGGCCCCTCCATCGACAACATCATCGCCACGACCACCACCATCGCCATGTACAATTTGAACGTGAACGTGAATCCCAGCCCGACGGCTGGGGCTGCCGCGGGTCTTCTCGGTGTCGCGGCGGCCGAGGTCACGCCAAGGACACCGGAAATCGTAAACTCCCTGATCGCCATGACCAATCCCTTCGAGGGGTACAGCAGCAACGAGAAGAGCAGGGACCGCACGGACTCGACCAGCAGCGGCGAGCCCAGCCCACCGAGTGTCCAGCACACCTGCAGTCAGCTCATCAAGGAAGGTAACGCATACAATATATATTCACATCGGATTCCGCTTTAACCAAGGAGAGGATAGAACGGATCTTCGAAAGCCTGATCGCGACTGTTGTGCATTGATTTGCGAGATTTGTCACTTTTCGAAAGATGTGAATGCGACGCACACCGTGCCGGAAAGAATTCTCCTGGATAAAATGCGCGCTCGCGCAATAAATCAACCTCTCACGTTAAACGCGTCAAATGAGTAGCAATTATTTTTTTATACATAATTCCGTTCAACCCGGATATTGAAATGTTTGCGTAGCATGTATTTAACGCACTTCTACCTGAATTCTTAGACTGTTTCCCGAGCGGGATGTACACTCTTTCGGTCTCTCTTCCTTCTCTCTCGCTCGTTCGCGACGGTGCATACATCCAGCGCGACGCATTAAATCGCAAATCCTGTTCCTTTCAAATTGCGTCGTTACGCAACGGACACGGGCGGAGGATCGTTATCGTAATTGCCACGCTGTGTTTGTGTTTGCACCGGTTGTGCCCCCCAGTGGGGGGGGGGGATCGATCTGNTAATTAATTGGAATTAAATTGATTCCGGACGATGACGAGATAACCGTCAGCGAGTAGCCCGCTGTCATATATCGGGGATATATATTTCGAGAATGCTTAGCACTCCCGAAATTTCTTCCAGTGAAATTTAACTCGTAGAGTGACAGCCGAGTAATCCGATTTCGTGCGATTTTTTCGCTCAAAGTGCACTTTTCCATTCGAAATCGTCGAATGATATTTTTATTCGAAATTGAAGGGCGGGAACAGGAAAAAATTAAGATTCGGTGATTTGTGTTTTCTTAATAAATATAGAAACGTATAATCTATATTGAGATGAGATCTCGGTTAATTTAAAGTGAAGATAAAACTTTGAAGATGAAGTTGTATCCTAAACTTTTTCAGATTTATCAGATAAAATAGTTGCTACTGAAAGAAGTTCTTTAAGGATTACAGCGCAAAAATCGACATTACCTGAATATTAGAGCACACTATATTGTAAATTCATCGTACATAATTATTTTAACAATCTTTTCTCCCCTCCTCCCCGCCTTCTCCGCCTCCTTCTCGGTTACTCAATAATTCCTCGAAGGCCACAGGAATGTTCTTACGCCGCTCGGGAAATTAGTGGCGGGTGTAATAATCACTATATCATTGTCTGCGACATTACTATGTAACGCGCTGTAATATTTTCAAGTTCTCCAGACGGAAGTTTATAATTAATCGCGGTGTGACGCCGAGCCAAGGAACTCGCGTGAAATAAAAACAGCCGTATACATTCGCATTCGCATAATCTTTTCTCGATCTGTTCAATTCTGCATAACGAACTGCATACTTCCAACTGCGTACTTCTATTTCTCTACCTCTGGTCGTTTCGAATTTTCGAAACTGCGGATTCAGAGAAAGAGAAAAGAAAATGGCAAAATGTAGCACGACGAGTTCTGCTAAACGCTGTTTGTTTTTGCTGGCAAATGCTCCTCGCTGTAGCGTCCAGGTTCGAACTTATAATCAACTAAGCTTCGACATTTATTTAATATATAATTATCATATATGTTAAATAAATGTGTGACAAATAAAATAACTTAGATGAAAAATAAATACAAATATACTATTATATAATTATTAATGTATAAATAAATAAGTGCCGATGTTTAATTATTAATTAGAGCAGCTACGATAGTCGTTCATTCCTGCTTCAAAGAAGCTACCATGATTACAGTTCCTTCTGTTTTCTTTTCCGGCGCGTCTCATGGCCGTCGCAGTCGCATTTAATCACCGAGCTCGATCAGTAAAGCTCCTTGCTTTTCTCGTATACGTTAATTTACAGGATTATAGAGATTGATATTTTAATTAATTATAATCGGATTGAAGGGCTGAAGCTGACGCTGCAGACGAAGAGACTAGCCAACGGCAGCGGCGACGAGGGCAGGAAAAAGTTGAAAAAGGAGGACGGCAGCGCCGACGACGAGGAGGAGGAAGAGTCGAGCAACAACAACAACAAGAGTGGGGTAAGGATCCTTTGCATTTATATTTATTATTCTCGTTAATTATCTTATTATTGCGTCGCTAAAGACGATAATGCCCGATTCTTTTGTTTTATGTTAACTCTGCGCTTTATGTATACCACTTTAACGTAAAACTCTCGCGACCCTTTTTTCTCCGCTGCAACAATCTACGCGTATAATTTTATTAATTAATATCAATTCGCTAAAATTTCATGACTATTATTTTTTACAATTTTGACAATTATGATATAAAACAAATACATCATATGAAAGTGAAAGAATTCCCCCCCCAGTCCCTGGGAGAGCGAGGTCTTTCTGGGTCCTTCCATCGAGGCGGATTCCTTTCGCCGCCGATTCCTTTCGATCCTCGTGTCCCCCGCGCGCGCGTGTCCTTGACTGCCGTCGCGAGTAATCTCGCGCGGCGAATAAATTAATTCCGACGGGCGCCATCGCGCGCGCGCGCAGTCTTTTTCGGCGGCACTCGCGAATTTGCATGCCGCGCATGCGGATCGGGATCGTTTGTTTACGGCATGAAGTGCAGATTAGCTAAAATTAGCGAAATTGCGGGCGCGAAGCGACGCGCGCCTCGCGCAATTTTAATCGGCTCAGGCGGAATCGCCTTTACAATCGCGCGATTACGTCCTATCTCCGGCCGCTCTGATATTTCCATTTTCGTTTCGCTCGCGAGCGTGCTTTAACGTCGCCCAGCCTCGCTACTCCGAATCTAATGAATACGTGATACGTGTAAATTGCGCACGATGGAATTCCGCGGCTAAATGTATAGATTTTCGCGGTGCGGTTCATCGAAACTTCGCGCCAGTTGCAATTAGAATCATTCACCGTCGTTCCCCCTTAGAGTCCGCGGGTGTCTTCGGACTTTTTAGTAAAAAAAATGGCCGGTTCGTTGCTAAAATACCTATTTATGAAGAATGTCTACGATATATCGAAGTCGGATGCATAGTACGCACAATAGCAGTTGAGAAAATGTATTCTTCAATTTTCGAAAAATATATTCCTTCATCACTTCATTATTACTCATCTCCTATATCTTAGAGTAACGTTCATTTGCAAATAGAGTCCTTTTGGTTTGACGACTTTCAATTTTGCGGTGGAAATGATCTCTCAAATTGGTGGGAACGCGCCGGTGCACGAACGTACGAAATACAGTGCAAGGCGAAAGTGGAAGAAGAAACAAAGAGTATTGATGTAAAAGCGCGCGTGCGATAAGCGAAGTGGAACGTGGTAAGGGAAGAGTGAAGTCTGTGAGTTTTCGTAGACACGTCCGTAACGCCATGACGCGTCCCAATGTGTTCCCCGATTACCGTATCCGAGGATCGCCTTCCGAGCCCCACGTCAGACGACGATTAGCATCTCCGTACGAATAGCCGCTAATTCGCGCGAGAGTGCAACGAGCCGCGTACGATTAATACATTCTCCCTCAGACGAGACTTATCGATCGTTATTAATCAACGTCGCGCGCGATCGATGGGTTTCTAGCCTTCTTCTCTCACCTTTTTTTTTTTTTTTTTTTTTNATTCGAAATTAGCATCTCGAGTGTTCACGAAATATCCGAGAATTCGAACGAGGACTCTACCGTTTCGAGGAGCGTGTGAGCAACAATTTTTGGCGGAAGACCCCACAATTGCACGATTCTTTGAATCCTTCGAATTTCTCCTCGCATCCTCGACAGCTTGATATCCCAGGGATCCGAGTATAAAAGCACACAAGCGAAGTTGTCCAACGAAGTTGGTAAAATCGGAGAGACTCCCATGCAGATACATTTTCCGAGCTCCGTTCCCGATGTCGCAAAACTAAGACCTCGAAATTCCTGAAATTCTGAGCACGAAGTTTCGAAGACCCACTTTAATTCGGTCTCGATCCAAGATCCGTCTTAATTCAAGGTCCATCGTAATTCGAGATTCAATCTTAATTCAAAATTCAATTTTAATTCGAGAAAAGTTACACGATCGTCACCTGGCACGTCAGACTCCATTGATGCTATCCTGTTCCCCAGGCATGTGACATCAAAAGTTTCCAGCCGGGAGCATTATTTGTGCATCATGATGGTTGGTAATCTGCGGCAACGATTTCCCTAAACCAGCAGTCGTGATGAGCAAATATTAAATAACGCGTCTAATTGGAAATTCTCCACGTTATTATGCCTAGAAAATGGGACAGTTTTTAATTAATCGAGCCTGCTATACGCGGGACTCGGCAGATCGCAAATTTCTTGCGCAGAAAAAAAGTGCTAGATTCAAATATAAATAATTTCTGAACAAGTCCAATACTCCTTGGCGAATTTTCCCTCGGATGTAAATATTTACTTTGGCCCAAGTGAAATATTTCCCGATTAAATTATCCAAGCGAAATAATTACTCGACGCGCGTTGAAGTTTACTTAAACCAAGTGGAAATAAGCGGCGGGAGTATCGGAGTTAATGATTTACCTGTCTGTCTATCGCCACTTTCCCGCACAACCAACAATACCCGGTCGAGAGGGCAGAGAGGAAGGATAGAAGACGGCGGGAATCGCGCGAGGTCGCGGGGAGCCGACGGGTGTCTGACGTTTTTTTTTCTTTGTTTGCTCTAAAGACACATGGATGGCGCTTTTTGCAGCTGACGCCGGAGGACGAGGAGCGGCGTCGACGGCGGCGCGAGCGCAACAAGATCGCGGCGACGAAGTGCCGGCTGAAGAAGCGCGAGAAGACGGTGATCCTCGTGCAGGAGTCCGAGATCCTCGAGACGCAGAATCACGACCTGAAGTCGCAGATCCAGGAGCTCGAGACGCAGAGGCGCAGGCTGGTCGATATGCTGAGCCTGCACACGCCGACCTGCCTGAAGCAGAGCGCCGACAGCGCGACCTCCTACCAGCAATTCGCCGAGCCGATCCAGCTGCCGAGCTACCAGGACAATTTCGTCCAGCAGGCGGCGGCGCCACCGCCGGCCCTCAACCAGCCGCAGAACTGCGTCACCGAGTACCATCCGGTCAAGGTCGAGGAGTACGAGACCGATTTCTATCGGCAGGGTAGCCCATACGTGCCGACGACGTCGGACGCCGGTTGTACGGTTTAGCAACGTCGTCCTCGTCGTCATCGTCACCGTCGTCGTAAGGGGAGGGAGAATCTAGTCGAGAAGCTCGGACCTGCGCGCACACTGTCCCGTAACTCACGAATCCTCATTTCATTCTAAAAGCCACTCCGCAATGTCCGTGAGAGCATGGCTGTATGTGAGCATCGAGATTATATTCAAGATAATATTAAAGACCTTCTAAAGGGCCCTGGGTTCATTTTCATGCGAAGGGATGAGCGACGAAGCTTTCTCTCACCGGAGTTCAAACGGTGAAATTTTCTTACTCGCTGAATCCCGTAAAGCTAGTGATTTTTAATAATACCGGTGCGGTAAGCTTTAACATCAGGTCATACAAGCGAAATGAAAATTACTCATATTCGCTTATGATCTTATATTACAGCTTGCTGTGGCTGCGTCCCGATATTTATCGTTTTCTTGCTAGTCCTGAAAATCTATAGTATACGTAACACGAACTATGGGATTTCAGTGCTGACAGTGGATATCGGAACGGATCCTTACAGTCGCGTTTTACAGATTTACAGCTACATTCTCACGGATATTATGAAGTAGCCTTGATAGACAGGCGACCCCGTGTTACTTTGCTCTCAACAAACGCCATTGTTCATCGCGACTTTTGGATTTTCAGAGTTATGTAACCAACGGAAATGCTTGGAGTATTCCGCTTAAATCGTCTGATAGGAAAGAGTGGATTTCCAACTTGAAAGTACACAATGTTTCCGGATCGCTGAATCCGCAGAGACAGATTTTGCGCAGCGTTCTAAATTTTTATCAGCGGCTTGTTACCGCAGGATCCACGGACAGAGTATGGAAGGCGGAAGCCGAGTGGAATCTGTAATCTGCAGTCATTTCAATGCAACGAAATGGAAACATACGCGTATCTCGCTCGGTTTGTGCCACCAATTTGCTCGGGCAGTGGCAACAGATTCTGCTGGTAGAAGGCGAACTTAATCCGGAGATCGATAGCTGTGGATCTGATCGAATCTGTCGTCAATCTGCCGCAGTGTGCCGGGCACATTGCTAACACTTTGCCCATTGGTATAATTCAAGTTGGAAAGAAGTACAGGGAGAGGTGAAATTTCTCGGCGAAATTTCACAAAATGTTCCAACATTAAGTCGGAAAATGATTAAATGGACGAGAAGGTCGAAGAAGAGATTTTTCGATGTATTTATACCGCGCGTAACTATCGGAGAAAGGAGAGGGAGGGAAAAGAGAAAGATAGAGTATGTATATATATATATATTTTTGTATATATATTTTTGTTCCCTTTCGCGCACTTGTGGGTTTCCAAAAAAATTTGCTATTTTCAAGTGCCATTTGCGTATTTCCAAGTAGACTCGCCTTAAACCAATTTATTAATTGGTATGCATACACACCCACATACATATACATCTATTTTCCTCTTTTCTCTCTCTCTCTCTCTCTCTCTCTCTCCTTGATTTTCGTTTCTTGTAATTTTTACCTGACTCAATTCCCCTCCCCCCCTCCCCCTTGTCTTTGAGAGAGTGAGATTATATAATTACGCGTGTATTTAATTTAAACAACACACTCGACGAAGTTGCGGTTAACGATGGCGGGCGCAGAATGATTATATGCATTCCACATATGAAACGGTCGGAGAACCGAAGTTAGTCGAAACACACTCGCGTCGCATATGTTCGGCGATTTTGTTCTTCCTCCCGACTTCGTCGGTCCAAGCTTCTCCTCCGTTGGCCTCTCCCTCCCGTAAGTCCGTAGTTCATAAGCTCGTAAGTCGACACTACGCGTATTGCGCAAACGCGAACAATGATTTATATATGTTCTTTCGTCTTCCCTCTCGTTCATCGATCTTCGCATTGTCCCCTTTCCCTCACCCTTTTTTTCGTATCTTCTCCCTCTTCCTTCCTTTTCTAACGAGCTAGTTATACTCGAGAATAAACGTTCGACGTAGAACGCTTTGAAGACATTCCTTCGTAATAATCGTACTGTGACATTCTTAAGGCCTTATTAATATAATCGATGTAATGTAAGGGAACGATGAACCGTCTCGACGATGCTCGCATACGACCCTGAAAAAAACAAAAGAGAGAATGAGAGAAATGTCGAAATCGCTGTGATTCTTTCGAAAGTCGCCTCTGTGTGAGAATCAGAATTCGATTGAGAAAATTGTGTGTTTCCTCTCGAAGTTTCCGTTAAAAATTATCTCTTTATTTCCTCACATGCGACGCAAACGGAAGAATGCGAATGAGCTTATTAATCGTAGATTCACTCGGAGGAATATTTATTTGAGTAAATTGTTTTCTCATCACTCTCGTAGTCTTTCGATCAGACAGGGGCTGTCTGAGATGCGATTCTAAGCCCGGTCGAGTTCGCAGCGGAGGAATAGCGAATAGCTCCGCGAACCTGCTTGTATTCCCGTCGCGAGTCCTCGGACACGCGCTCGTGTGAATAAATTATCTTCTTTTTTTCATTTTTTTTTTTTACGCACGTCAACGCGTGCTTGACGTCGAACTGAGCGCAAAAAAGAAAGGAGAAGAAAACCGGCGAGGCGAGGAAGCGAGCGTCGTCGTCGAGCATCGTTGAGCATATCTCGTCGTTAACAAAAGCGAGAATCAAGACACCGTCTCGTCGAGATTCGGGTATTTTGCGAGTAGGTATCTCGGATTCGTCGCCAGTGAAAGAGAGAGAGAGAGAGAGAGAATACACGCGAGTAAGGGTTCAGACATAAATCAAAGAAATGAGGGACGAGAAATTAAATATAGGGGATTAGGAATAAGATATTAGAAATAAATAGTGTGAAACACAATAAAAGAAATGGAGAATAAGATATAAGAACGTTTCCACCATTTTTACTATATATATTTTTCCTTTTTTCTCTGATGAATCTCTACTGTCATCATTAATGTTTTTATCATTTCCTGATAATTGTTGTTTGATCAAAATTTACTTTCATTTGTATATTGATGATCATTATTAGATATTTTGAAAGTTATATAATATATATATATATATATATATATAACGCAAGTTATAAGGAATAGAATTTCGATAATGTTCCCAATCCTAGTTCTCCATTCCTTTATTGTGGATCGAAATGGACTGAAATATGATTATCCATACGTCGAAATTAATCCCTCGTTCCTATTCGTTCGAATTCGCTGTATTTATATCTTTATTCCTTATTCCTTTCATTGTGTCTGAGCTCTCCCAGTGTCGTGAACAAGTTCTGTATCGATATTGATTACGACTACTGTCGAGTGTCGGAATCGATAGCGCGCGTTCAAGAGAGGATACTTATAATAATACGAAGTAACGAAATGATATTTAATATTATTATTGTATGTATGCATATATTTTATATACAAACGCATATATTATATATAGAAATATATATATATATATATATATATGTATATATATATACACACACATAAATGTAGATATATACGCGTGTGCTCAAAGTGTAGCGCGAAACTGGACGAATGCGTTCTGCAGTCGCACAGTTGCGACCGAAACATCTTTCCGTGGATCTTCCTCGGAAGAGATAAAAAGACACGTAAAATTTTTTTCTATTCTTTTTAAGATTTCTTGTCGATTGTGATTCACGAATCTTTCTTAATTACGTCGGAAAAATAATTCGCACGTTATAATTGAAAGGGGTTCTTCTGTGAACGAAAGAATAACACGACACGGTGGACACTGTATGTGCGCACACACGTATATACTATATATCTATTATATGTATTCACGCGCAGAAAATCAATCGCATGTTAAGTATACACGCCGTTAACAGTTAACGAACACTTAATTACATGACGATTAAACGGTTAGAGATTCGTTGGAGAACAGATAATTACGTGCCTAACGATACATACCTCAATTCTTCGTGGGTAGTTACCCTCCCACAGTGCGTTTGCATCGCGAGAGAGATATAGAGAATAATAATAATATATAATAATATAATAGAGACGTCGCGGTATGTGTTTATATTGTGAGATTTCCCGTCTCGGATCTGCTTTGGACATATTCGCGCGAAGAAAAGAGAGAAAAAAAAATAATAGAAACCACGTACGGCAATGCCAAAGAATTGCGAACGAGCATAGAGCGTAAATGTTTGCATCCTGATTTTGTATAATGATTGTTATATATCGTATCGATAATTGCAATCGCACGTATGCCGCTTTTGCTGGGCAAAATTGCGGTAGTATGCGTATGAGAAAAATCCAAGTAGAAAGGAGTGGGGGGGAGAGAAAGAGAGAGAAAGAGAGAGATAAAAACGGTTTAATCCGATTAAAATATAATTATTTTATGACGAAATCAAATTACTTTCCAATTATCCTCGATACCGCCGATGTATATGTAATATAATAACAAAATAGAGAGAGAGAGAGAAAGAGAGAAAGAGAGAGAGAGAGAGAGAGACAGACAGAGTGATATTGATGATTTCGTTATTATGTTATACAGGGTGGTCTGTCACAGAAAGGGTTTTATGAGGATGAATTTAACTTTTTCAGGGATATTGATACATATATATATATATATCTTCAGATACGTTTAATTTTTCTTTTTAAATTTAAAAACATTGTAGAAAAAACGAATTAAAATTAATTTATCACGAATAAAAATTCGTCACAGAATTCCACAAGAAAAATGGGAAGCCTGTCATACGACCGACAGAAATCACTTAAAAATGGGATAATTTTCTTTAGATTTTAATAAGTTCATCCCTGAAGACGTTGTAGGAGTATACAGTATTCGCAAAAGTAAGCGAGAAACGTCTAATCACAGTATATGCCGGAAAATTCAGGTTTCCGAAGATTTTGGTATATTTCGCGTTCTTTTTATTTCACTAACCGGAGAGGGGGGGGGGGAGAAGTTCATTCGCACGGAAGTGACGAATGTTTCATAATTGCACACGCACGAGAGGAACGACAACATTCGTTTTCCTGTTCTTATCACGCGGATAGCACTGTATTTTTGGACATATTTGGTTTGCTTTTCCTTCATCGATTGTATTTATCCACCTCACCACCGATACAAATTTAAATTCAGATGTAGATTAAGATTTTCAATTTAGAAATACCCCCGGTTAACAGGCTGGATTAGCTCGATTACGAGCGATTAGGACCACCCTGTATCTCAAGATAATATGGAGATACTAATAAAAGCGATGAGAGATCAGCAGATTCGTCGGCAAACGCACTTTGGGCTACGCTTAAGTCATTGTTCTCGCGCATCAAATCTATGGGAGCTAGTTCGCCTGTTAGCGGAAGATGCCGTAATAATAATAATAATAATAATAAGTGTGTCAACGAAGAAACGCTTTTACACGAATCCGCGGGCAAAAAACATACCTTTCGCCTTCTCGGAGATCCTTTCATTTCAAGCGCCATGTACTACAGAGAACATTCGTACCCCAGCAAGCAAGAAACATTAAGTCAATCTTTTAAAATTACGTTTACATTTATCCGGATTTTATCAATATTTTGACATAATATTTTATAAATGTTTTTAAACTGTTACTACACTGATATTATATTTTTAAATATTAAAATTATGCTGTGGAAACACTATTTTTCATGTTTCGGCCAAATATTGTCAATAACGTTGTAATGTACAACATTAAGAACTATATATTTGGAAACGTTACATGTTATAAAATATCATTGTAATAACATCGTGTCAACGACTTCTCGCTTACTGGGACGCGTACACGTCTGTAAATGTGACCTTTCGATTTTTCGAATGTCTCTCCGCAAAATAGATCTCCGCTCGTCCGAATTCTGTCGCGAATTATACACACACATATACAGTCGGCGGATTAAAGATTGCAACATTTTTTGCTCGATGGGAAATATACCTCCTGACAAAATTCTCCTATTGGAGATGCGTTGCGAAACTTGTCGAAAAAGAAAGCTCCGCAACCTTCAGTATCTCTGGATCCGCAATAGATGTAGTGAGCCTTAATTTTTTGTTCCGGCAAGCGAATATAATTGGAAATTTCTCACATAGCCCTGGGGGACGCTTTTTGCTAGGAATTACGTTGCAACTTAGTGCTCGAAGCGAAGGGTCAAAAAGGGCTCGTTACCACTGATTGCGGATCCGGACTCAATCTGTCGACTGAACCGTCGTCCACAAGCAGGCCTTATAAATCTGCGATCTGCGTAGTTTTGACGTCGGCTTCGCAAAAAGAGCATCAACAGCGCAACCTCCGCGAGCCTTCCGGCTGCCCGAGTTTTCGTTATTCGAAACGAATTACTACTGCCAGTGCTAAGATCCCGAATACCGAGTAGCTTCTAGTATCTAAGGACTCGTCTCACACGTTCTTCATTTTCTTATCATTCGATCAGCGCGAGCTACATATCGAGAGAACATGTTGTCTCATCCTTCCCCTCACTCGGGGGGGAGCGAGTCGTCGCTTTCTTTCGGCAGAGCAGAATATCGAGTTGCGAAACGGCGTGAACAAGCGTGCCAGATCTACACGTCGACCACGCGACTCGCCGCGTCTTCTCTTATATATCTCGTTACTCAGTACCTGCCTGTGGTTTTCCATGCGACCATGTGGCCGTTTTTCTCGTGCGAATTTCCCTCACTAACCCACGAGCCACCTGCGAGCGAAACGGAACGGAAAAATGGCTGGCGAAATTTTATCGTTGTATAACCCGAGGAAAGTATTTTATTCTTTAAATAAAAGTGCCTTGGATACTAATAATTGTAGTGATTCGTGCTCTCAGGGCCCCCCCCTTTCCCCCTTTTTTTACACTGTTACTTCGATCGAAACACTTTTTCCCTTTTAAGTAGGAATCGCTTGAATGGGAAAATTAACAAAAAAGTGAGAAGGTGCAATTGTTATTATAATATTTAATAGTAATCATTAGGAATTGTTTAGTGAAAGATATTGGAACTTCACTTGGTCTTAGAGGGAGTTTAAGACAAATCAATGACTCCTGACGTGTCGATATTTCTCAGATTCCTTTGAAGGAAGCATGTTTTACGTAAGAAAAGATGAGTATGTTTTTTAGATAACCATTTTATTATAAAATTCATTAATATTACGCACACATCTCTCATCTATCTCACTCGCGAAATCAATTCAGTACATATTTTTATATTATAAATAAGAATGGGGCGGGACGTACAACAACGGAAGTATCTTTATGGAATCTTAAAGATAGCCTCAGGACGCAACTCTTATGAACCTCTGAAAAAACAAAAAAAGTACAAAGTAGATAATATTTAAAGGAAGATCATAAAAGAAGGGTAGGAAAAGTGATTTAGGAAATCGAAGGAGAGAGGATCAGATGCATATAGATACAACTATCTTAATCTTGCTGATACTTACACAATGATATTATTGATCGGGATGTGGATTAGTTTAACGAAGAATCCTATGAAGCCCATCACGCAGAAACCAACGACTGTGGCAATTGCGATCTTTTGGAACTCTGAAACATAACGAAATACAAATTAGACATCTCGCCTCGAGTTCCTACCTGTATCTTCCTTTCTTTCATTTTTTATCTTCACCCAGTAAACATCAACCGATAGTAATGATCAATGTTATAATTTCCCACTCGACAATGTAACCGTTGCACACAACATATGTTATATTGTACTTATATTATTGAGTGAGAAAACCTAACACTGATGTTACTGTTAGTTGGTACTTATTGGGCAATTAAAATAGATCACTGTTCGATCATAAAACTAAAGGGGAAACCATATTACCTTTGCGATCTGGCTTAGTGCATCTTTTGATGAGCCTGATGCTGTCTTTGGCGAACTGGCGGCCAGGTTCGGTCAACTTCTTAACTTGATCCATGTTGCTTGAAAGTCGCTGCAAAGGGAACACAATTCTCTTGAAGACAGTCTGCGCAAGAGGACTCTTGAACGCAAGATTCTATGAATCCGAAGTACATGGCAAACACAGTGAAAAAAAAAACACGTTGCCAACTGAAAATGAGCAACGGTTATTTAAAGCCCGTATTAATAATTGTCGTTTGAAATCTGTCCCACGTGAGGTACCTGGATTTCAATTTGGTGCCAGATGTGAGCTTCTCAGTTGAATCGTGTGATATATCCAACAGTATATCTGCCAAGGCTATTCCACTGAAAAACTCCGATCTAACTCGGAAGTCAAATCTGAGTATCTCACATGAGACAAGTTTCAAGTAACGACTATTAATACGAGCCCGAATGTTAAATTGAACGGTTACTCGGTGAAATTTGAACGGACGTGGACGGGCGACATGTGTCAACCAGCCTTCCCGTTCCCGACGATCTCGCGAGGAAATCCGCGACTTAAGGCGATCTCTGCTGATCCAACATCGGAGCCAATATCGTTCCCGATAAACGACACGAGAATAGGACGCGCGAGAAATTCATTCGGGCAAAAGTAACGCATCGTTTCGACGAATGCAGGACGGCGCACATGGTGCGCCAACGCGACTGATCGCGTCCCCGTGACGTCTCGCGACGCTTTCGTACGAGGGTTAGATTCGCATTTTTCCCGGAGACGGAGGGATTAGGCGAATTACTGAATCAGGAACAGCTCACGACGAGATCGTGAGCGCGGAACATTCCCATCCCGTCGCGATAGAGACGCGCACAGAACGTAATTACGCGCACAGAACGCGAGGAGACGCGTCTTTTCGCACCTCGACGAAGTAAATAAGATCCGGGTCGTCACAGAGGCCTTTGAGATATAATTCCAGCCGAATTGCACAGGCGCGAAGAAACAAACAGCGCGAAGAAGAAGAGAAGACCAGCGACCGATTCCCGAGGCTGAGACGATCGAGCGGGAGACCGCGATACTCACGTTGCACGTTGCAAATCGAGCTCGTCGCACGAGTGTGCCGTTTTTGACGGCTGCCGCTGATGATACCGAAGCGATGGAACCTGATCCGCTACGTGGACGGTGCGCTGTAAGGTCGTCACTTCCTCGCGACTGACGTCACTGGCACGTGAAGGCGCGTGCGCTGCGTTGGAACGACGCGGGAACAGTCGAACTGCCGCGAAATTAATCTCGCCGAGTGATCGATTCTGAAAGACTGCGGGAGGGGATGATATTCATAGCTCGATCTTATATTTAAGGGGACCCACCAGTCTAGAGGGATCGACAAATCGATTTTCCCTCTGTTGCATTCTCGAAATTCTTCTCGTTTGAACATTTTTCTCACATTATCATATTATAGCTATATATATAATCATGTGAAATTATACACGAAGTTCGGCCATACATAATTTATGTACAATCTTCACACGAGCGATTTCGGACACCCCTGTGTAATGAAATAATTGCTATTGTACTTCTATACTTCTAAGAATTCTAAATTTTCCGTCATTTCGTCCACGTCCAGATTCAGAAGGAGACTCGCTGGGGCTTTCTAATGTGCGCGGAGAAGAAAATTGTCGTTCCGCATTCCTCCGTAGTTTCCATCCGACGGTCGATAACTTACCTATAAAACATACTTTATCTGAAGAATCTTACAGATATACTACAGATATTTTGGGATAACAATAGCATACCCTAAAATAATTTCGCATAATCGTTGGATTTTCAGCAGATTGATAAGGTCCGTCTACGTGATATCCTACGGATATCTTAAATGACGTCTAAAAGATAACCGAGCTCAAGAAATATTCTAAGATATATTATATAAAGCGAAAGGATACGGCAAGATATTTGGGGTATTGTGAGATATTCTGTTGGAATATCCTGGACATTAGGACACTGGCGCATCTGTCAGGCTCGCATTTGGAAATCTGGGACAACGGGATATCCTGAAGATAAAGTGTGCTCAGTGGATAATGGCCAGACTTTTGAAGATGATGAGTTACGAAGGAAGGAGAAATCCATTTGTCATTGCCTATTATGTTGAAAGGACACGAAAGTTGAGGAAGAAATTTATGGAATTAGTATACATAGAATGTTGTACCCGTTCAGAGGTCTACCTGCGTGTAGGTATACTCGGTCACGGGACGATTTGCAACAGTTTCTTTTTTATATATTTTAGAACACAAGATAGTCAGACAACTGTCTACTGCGACTATCTACTGCGCATGTTCGTAAATCATAAATTCGCTTCGTCGTATTTTTTGTCTGTTCCGAACGTGTAAAAAAAAAGAAACGGTTGCAACCGTCCTGCGACCGATTGTACGTGCACTTGGCAATAATGAAGCCGTTAATTAGGCGCTACGAGGCTGGGAGGAACGAAGAAATAAAATACGACAAATTTGTAATAAATTCAGCACATTACAATAAACAGTACAATTATAATCATCCCTTGGTATCCTTTAGTATCTTTTAGTATTTATTCAGTTCAGTTACACGCGAAAATATATTAATGCTGGGAAATCACAATATTGATAATACATAAAAGTAATTCTTAAGATAAACGCGGCATAAAAGATATCGTATGTTACGTAAAATGTGTATGTTACATAAAATGATGATGAAAACTTCTCGACTATAATATTCACCCCCACAACCGCGGTATGGATAGATACGTCTTACGTAGCTGTTATTCGCGTCTCCTGTGTTTTGTTGCTATGAATCGAGCGATAAATTCGAGACCAACTGTCCAAAGTACGCATCCAAAGTACACGCTTAAGGTGAACGTTGAATCAACTGGCGAAGCCGCGTGAACCTCTTCCTCAAATAATGAACGATGCGTTGCTTCCGTGTACGTCGGACGTATCGCTCATCTGGCAATTCGGTCCTCTCATTCTCTTCGGGTAAATTGAGAGGATTCGCGCCAGGATTCGAGTCAGATCTTGATGAGGAAGCTGGCTTATACTCCTCCTTCCGAGCCCAGACGTCCGGTATAGGCGGGAACCATTGGGGAGAAAATTCAGATAATTGTAGAGTGTCATCATTAACGTAGCGTATTTCGTACATAAAAGAATGGACATCGCGTAAATATGCCTCGATCATTTCAGCTGCACTACCCAGATCGATGGACAGTGAAACATCGCGCGTCTTTCCATCGCCCCCGCGTTGTCCACGTGAATTCATCCCCCTCTTGTAGGAACTGTTGAGGTCGATCATCGGCGCGGTAAGAACGCCGTGACCGTTCAAACATGTAGCGAGCATCTTCGAGGTTTGATGTCAAGCAGATCTCGATCGACAGGAGGACTGTATTAATTGCCTCCGATCACCTGCACAATACGATATTCGCAGATAGATAGGTATTGATTTCGTTCGCGTGCGAAGAGATGTCACATTCACCCTGTCGCACTGGACACACGTGTCACTTTGAACGTTTGTCACTTGTCGCTTTAACGTTTTGTTAAATAATGAGTTTGACGGTATCTGGTATCCTCTTCTTTCGGGTGTTTACTTCAGCAGCAGCGGTAATTGATCAATCAACTTCGCACGGGCGTGGATACGGCGGAATGCGGGTAATATGAAATGCACGCGAAATCAATGCGGTCTCACGATGTGTTCGACTTTTTACGTTCTCGACGATGTGAGTGACTCGGTAGTTCGAAGGCAACTGAGACTGTTATTCAGCAATCGGTGGGTATCCGCAAATTTCTTTTTACCTGAGCTGACCCTTCGATCGTTCGTACAAAGCTCTACGAACGTGGCGTTTCTTCCTACCTGAATTTCTCTAAAGACTTTCTCCGGAGGAGATACGTGCTCGTTAATTAAAACCCATTAACAGAATTTCCTCTTTTACGCTAACAATATATCCGGAAAAGAGAAACCCAACGCGGAAATGTTCCAAATTTGGTAAGTTCTCCTTACAAATCGGCCCATCTCCATTTTGTCTTCACTCATTCGGGATTCGTTTTTCTTCGTAAAACATATAAATTCGATTTCTATTTGACATCACACCGCTCCCGCGAGAGTAAGCCGTTTACCTGTAGCGTACCTGTAGCGCCTCACGTAGCAACGGGAACAAAAGTAACATTTTGAATTTAATCCTCTTCAGGGATATTGACATATATGTGTACGTTTAGTTTTATTTAAAAATTATCGTTATTTATAGTTAGAAAAATTTTTGAAATTTAAAAATTAAACGTCATCAAAGTAGGCCATGATGGCTACATGCCAAAATCGGTTCAAATAAGGTATCCTTGTTTTTTGGGCACTCCACTAGAGCGGATCATAAATCAAAAATGGAAAATTCATCCCTGAAGAGGTTAAGAACATTGAAATGTTCCTTCCCGTAAACTTTACCGTCCTGTTGACTTTCCCACGTTGGGTTTCTCTTTTTCCAAATATGAGCGATGATAAATGAGAAAATCGTGTAAATAAACTTTGGCGTGTATTTCCTTCGGAGAAAAGGGACATTTGGGAGGAAAAGATGCCGTAAGCTTTATAGAGTCTGCATGAATGGTCGAAGGATTAGACCCTAAAAGGTAAAAAGATTTGAAGTTCACAGACCCATCGGGCCGCTTACGTAATTTCAGTCTTTCTCAAACCACCGAGTCGTTCGCATCGTCGAGAACGCAGAGCTGAACACGTCGTGACGTCAATATCGCTATATCACATTGATTTAGCGTGCGTTTCATATTATCACGCGAATCGCCACATTCGCGTTCACGCAAATTGTTTCATCAATTTCCGCCACGCTGAAGTGAATTCGAGAGAAGACGAAATTGAATGCTGCGAAACATACGTTGTAAGATATCGAAGCGGGACGTACGGTTTGATGCGATATCTCTTCGCACACACGGAAATACGGAATTGAGAAACAGAGTCCAGGGCAAATCCAAAGCGATCAATCTAGCCCTCCCATTACGAAATCCGTTCGATATATCGATATCGAGGACAACGAAGCTACGCACACGTGACCGTGAGTGAAGAGCACAAGTCCTCCCGAAATGCCGCTTCCGAGCGTCTCTGCTTGCTCGTCGCATTCCTCGTTTAATGGAATAGACGACAACTCGACGTTTAAGGAATCGGACGATTCGTCGTTCGAGTCATCGGTGTATAGTGAAAAGATCTCGGAGATGTTCACTATGGATTTCGAATGCCACAGTGTACTAACCGCGCCGGCAATTGATCTCGACAGTTCGTACGAGGCCAGGATGAACTCGCGCAGGCAACGCGGCATCGGTCTCGGTCCGCATAATTATATATCGGCTCTTCAATTTCGTTACCGAAATTACTCTTCCACCGCAACATTCAGCGATACAGAATCGAGCGATATGCTGATTAGCTCGACAGACTCTGACACCCTTAATACTAATTCCACGATCTCGAAGTCGAATCACGACTCCTCCGATTGTGCTACAAATTCTATGAGTTGGGATCGCTTCAAGAATTCGGTGACAAACTCGTCGACGTTAAACAACAAGCGTATCACTGGCGTACAATTTGCAATTGAATATTCCTCTCGACTGTTCTCTCCTGTATCGGACGTCCGTGATTGGAGGGAGGAGTACACTTTCTTATCAGGATCCGATTTGAATTCTGACTCGAATCCTCGCGATTCACTTGAAGAGACTGAGAAGACTGGATTGCCGGATGAACAATCCGTCCAGAGGACACGAAAACAACGGGTCGTTCATTATTTGAGGAAAAAGTTTCAGCGTGGGCAACTGATCGAATGTTTATCTTGCAAGGAAACCATGTAGACGAGAAGGTGGTATTAATGAGGAATTAATTCATCCGTATGAGTCAATGAGCAAACAGCAGGAAGCGGTAGACCGGATTTTGTCGAAAGAAAAATAACTGAATTTTGCAGATCTCCCGACAATAAACATCAACTGATTTCTGAAGGCCGGCGTAACGAAGCGAGCAGCGATCGACATGTGACACAGGATTGCATGCTGAAAAAAAACACGCCTCTTACTATCACATTATATGTTACGGATACAATGAAAGTTTTCAGACACTCTGTATAACAATGTAATAATAAAAATGCAACATAAATAAATAAATAAGTATGATAAATAAGTATGATATTTAGATTGTAATAAAAAAGTACAGTAAAGGACAATCTGAACGTTACCGAAAAATCTTAGCTCCTACGTAAGAAAAGCCAACTCTGTGAATTTTAGTCGCTTCTTGTTTAAAAGTTATTGTAACCCGGAAATTTTTATATTAAGATTATCATTTCTTAATATTTCTAAAGTCTATTTGATTAAAGGGCTCCACATTTCTAACCCATTCTTTGTGCGTGTATTCTGCGTCCTCTCGTGATTTCGATCCTGAAATGGTCCATCCATGCTCCTCCTTTACGGAAATAATTAAGTATCGGCCAAATAATTACTGAAATACCGTCAGTATTCAATCACTGTAAATTTCCTTGTAATTCTGAATATGAAATTTCTGTAAAGGCACGATGCGTCACTAATCGTACATGATAATGACACGCGTTACAGGGAGTCCCGTTTGTCGTGATAAAACTTGAATTCCTCATTGGGGTTCTCCAAATTGATAAGTAACATTGTACTTCCTGCGTTAATTATCGTTGTACTTTCCGTATTAAGTAATACGATAAGAAATTCATGCTGGTTAAGGGAAATTTATCGTTGGAATAATTTGAAGATATTTTATTTTACACAACGTGCGCCTCCCTTCTCCGAGTTTGCCTTTTAAAAACAGCTTCGCCTTTTAAAAACAGATTATTGGCAAATTTGGTTTCGTCAATGAACTTTTCTGTTCGGCAAGAATTTTGCGAGATGATTACACGTGTCATGATTTTCTCATTTTTAACGCGAATTACTCCGATCGCATTTTTTTTCTTTACTTTCCGTATTACGTAATGTCGTAACAATAAACGTTTACGTTTGAAGAAAACGCCATTTCCTTGACAATTTAACGCTCGTGACGGGGAATGAAATAAACCCGATAGATTTACGATATTTCTAATCACGATGTTTCTCTCGTGTAGATCTCTTAGGTGAAACGAGACACGCGAATACACATATGTCGATTTATTAGTTATAGAATATACGAAGCGTTTCCGAGATTTTCAAGGGAGAGGAATAACATTATCGTCTACTTTGCGTCATTTACGTTTTTTTCATTTTACACATACATGTATACGCGTTCTTATTAAATGTAGCGATTAAACGTAGTGATAGAACATCCTGTCGAGAAGATAAATCGTACTTCCTCGCTCACGTCTGCCGTATGTGATGATACAACTTATTTTATCGTAATATATATAAAGCGTACCGCTCATTCGTGGTATTCACTCTTGGGAATTCGTAGTTAGCACAACGTAATAATTATGTTGCGATATCTGCGATATCTGTTGGTGCTTTTGTGCGTAACATCATATTGCGTGGCAGATCAGTCTGACACTACGAACAGTTTGCAAGGTAAATTAACGAATATTATTGCGTCTCGAAGCTCATTTTCGAGAACATATTTATCGCATTTGGATATTAGCGTTATTAGCTGAAAACGTTTAGAAAGTAAGAGTGCAATTTAAGCATTTTATAATTGCACTAACAATTATATAATCGACAATTAAATATAATTCTAGATTAAATATATCTTTAACACATTCGCTGTTTCGTCTGTCGTTTTCACGTTGAAATTCTATTCAAAATCGCCGTATATAAGATGTTTTATACGAACGGTTTGCTTGAGGCTAGCTTAGGTGTGGTTAAGTTAGATTTTGACAGAGAGCAGTAGTGATAGGGACAGTCAAGTTGATTGATATGTATCGGAAACGCGCGCATGGATGTGCCTTCCGCTAATTATAACCAATATACAACGTACTTTCTTCACAATTCCGACTTTTCACTTCCTGCCAGACCTTGACGCCGTTGTAAGCCAATCTTTTGCAGCCGTAGGCAAGTCATTATGCGACAGTGATCCGAATATGGGCGCGTTACAGCAACTGCTGTGCTCGTCCCAGAACGGTCAGCGTATGGATTTCGGGCAGCAAATCATTTACATCAACAGGCCGCCGCAGTGGAGAACGCACAAAGCTGTCAATCTCCTGGACAAAGTAGGAAGCGATTACCTCGTCACACCCGGCATAGGCGCTCATAAACTTCACATTCGCAAGCTACCGTGGAACCGCGCCCGTAGAACTTGCATCCAAGAAGGGGGTGAGTTTTCTTCACAACAGAGATCAACGAACCGTCGGATATCGCATTCACACTACGGAATCTTTACGGTATCTTCACGGTATTCCGGTCGCTCATTTTGCCGATCAGATTCACCTTATTAACTAAAGTACAAAAGTAACAAGTCGGCCGGATATTCAGTGAGAAATTCGGATGCGTGATGGTTGAACTTAAATTAGACAAATCTCGCTCGGCTTCTCGGAGAGTAATTACCGGTCGAACGGAATGGTTTTATTCACAAATAAATCAATAAGTCAATAATAAAAGTATAAAGACCGACGATTTTTCACAACGGGTTAATGAGACGGATGGTCGTCACAGGTCACCTGGCTATTATCAATTCTAACTCGGAGGAGAAGCTGCTGCTGCGCGTTATGGAGGAGAACAAGATGACCCAGGCGTGGCTCGGTGTGCACGATCTGTACGAAGAGGGCGACTGGAACACGATCTTGGACGAACCCATGGAGTCGTCGGGTTACGCGAAATGGACCACGAAAATCGCTAATTTACCCGATAACGCTGGAGGGAAGCAGCACTGCGGACTCCTTCTGAAGGACGGCGGCATGGACGATTTAGATTGCGCCGCGGGGCAACCCTTCTTCTGTGAGATCAATTTCTGAATCTCAGCGGAAATTCGCGATCGCGCGTCCGATCGCAATATAATGCCGTAATGACGCCGTAACGACACGCGATTCGCCGAAGATTACGATTTATAACGACGATTACACGGACTGTGCAATTAAGGTCGGATTAACAGCGCCGATAACGCAAAGCATATATGCGGATTGCGTGATTATGATCAGAGGTAGTGCGGGTGTTACGGGATGGCCTAAGATTTTTTCAAGATCGAATCGAAAACTGTTAAAAAGAACCGAATTCGTTTTCACTTGTAATGCCAAGTGTGTCGGAATATCTTGTTTGTCTTGCGAAGAAAGAATTTTTCGCGTATTTCGGTGAATATTAATGATCGAACAGTTGATAATAATTATTATATTATCGTCTATTATAAATTTATATTTATATATCTTCTGTTATAATAATACAATGTCATATTCCGTAATACCCGGCATCGCCATTTACCTTTTTATATAATGAATTATGTATTATATTGTAATGAAAATGTACACCATATCCCACACGGCAGAAATGTCCGGAATACATCATAGGGATATCTCTGTTGTGTGCGATATCTCTGCTGTGTGGTGAGTGACACTAGTAGAATACATTAAAGTTATATCTTAGTTTTACTGGTTACGTGAGGAAAGGCGACTAAGAATCTGTGAAGCAGATTGATTGTTAAGTAAAAGTTGCGAAACTTACCCCATGAAAATAGCGAGACTAACTGAATTTGATCGCCGTCGTAACGAATATGCAGTAATAACGATGGTTTCGCTATAACAAAATTATTTTTCTCCATGCAAACTGAAACTAAAATTTGTCTCTTATTAACTGCCGTTTTAAGTTTCTTGATATTCATTATTTTTGTTTTCAGTGCATAATAACGAACGTAGTAATTGTTCAGCTAGAGGGAGAAAAATTCTTTGACGGCACAGCAAATTGTTTGTTATCATAATCATAACAGAAATATTTGTTACGTGGAAAAAAATAATTTTGCCGTTGCAGCAAAACGTCGTTGCGACAGCAATGAAATTCCGTTGGCATAATTAGTGATTAACACTCTTAACCAATTTTTTCCTGTCCAAACGAATCTTTTTAAATAACAAACAATTGGTTGCCCCAGCAACAAATTTTCCTCCATGAACGATCGGTGGCCATCGACTTTAGTCGACGATCTTTAGTCGACCGAAGGAAATTATTTCAATTCACGTCCGAAGTGCGCGCCCGTGATTACTCATCTTCGCGGAGATTGTTTTCCAATCGAAGTGAAATAAAGAGGAACTTGAGACTCGATAACGGGATAAATATTGTTATTTCTGCAGGACACGTACAATTCGAGCATTATATCGGCGAGACCGTTCGATCGTGTTTCGTGGTAAAAGAATGGATGCGTAAGACGAGGTTGCGCCGAGGAGTCAGTCATTCATGAAACTACGCGAAGATATTATCATTAACATAATGAGAGTCACGTCTGCATTAGATAAGCGCGACGCTTATAAGTTCGGCATAGCACGCAACGGTATTAATAATTGCGCGATAGTCGAGGTGACAACATGAACCGAATCGCTGTTGCTGTCGCGCTATTGTGCGCCCTGTCGTCCACCTTTGCCTTCAGTTTCGAAGACTGCGGTGAGTACACGTACAGCGACAAGAGAAATGTCCATTTTCTATTTTGGCTATCACTCGAAGTTGGCGACGTTGAATTATTAAAGGAAGGTATGCATTTCAAGCGATTTTCAAGTACGGAGGAATTGTTTACTTCTTATCACTCAATTTCACTTGTTTTAAATCCGAAAATAATCAAGATGATTTTGGCATTTGGCGAACATTTTGCAAGCATATTTTAAAAATAGAAAAGCAACGGTTTAATCTACCGTTATTTATTTACGTTGATTTTATCCGGATACTAAGATTATTTTGATTGTGACTTTCGGAGTCAGCAAATGAAATTAAATGTAAAAAGGTGTACATAATAATCTGTGCGTACTCCCAAAATCGCTTGAAATGCATACCCTACTTCAGTTACTAAATTAAAACTGAAAATCAGACGTTAAATCGCAATTTAACAAAGAGAAAATAGATGACCGTTATATTTTTTGACTCGATCTCGAGAGAATTGTACTCTATAAATTAAAAAAAAATTGTATTTACAAATTTTTAACTTAAATTAAAGATTTTAATCACAATTTTGACAGATATTTATATTTATAAATTTTTAACTGAATTTTGATCCTCCATTCGAATTTTACTTCGAAATGGCGTTGCCCTTGAAATTAAGAAATGTAATTTTGTCGAAAAATGTTTTCTCTTTTTGCTTGTCGATCGAAACTTTAATTCTAATTTTAATTTTAATTTCAGTTAAAATTTTAGTTAAACTTTAATTTAAATTCTAAGCTTTGATGTTTAATTTCAAACTGGACCATGGAAGTATACAAGTTGCGTTAATAAAATGAGAGATTCTTCGCAGACGAATTTTTCGGTTGAAGAATGTGCAGGCAATCTGTGTCCGCTGAAAATACATTTTCTGACGATTGGGAATTCTCGTGTCTCGATTATGATAGCTTATTATTAATTATCTGTTGCTATTGGAGCTTTCAGTGTTAATTGCACGTTGCAGAAGCGGCGTTCGTATCAAGGACACTTAATTAAAGATTACGTGTTTTAATGGCGTTGCGAATTATTAACAGCGTTACACAGGAACACTGTACTCGCAGCCCTTTAATTACGCGCATGCTTAGAGATGTTTGTCTTCGGAATTGCACGTAATTAATTCGCAGTCTGTGTCGCGTGTAACTCTGCATCATCGCGATATGTAATTAGGTCTCATTAAGAACCCGAGCGTCTTCGTGATTAACTCGCACTATTAATTGAACGTTCGCGATTTCCGTTGGGTTCGAGAATTAGACTGTCCCAACGCTTGAGTTCGCATACTATTATTATTACTGCCTCCCTCTGCCGCCGGGAAATCATTCCTTTGGTTGCATAATTTATCTCGCAAAAACGGACGAGACAACCAGATAAATCAAAAAGAGAGAAAAAAAGAAGAAGAAGAGCACCCAGAAGGAAAGTGAGAAAAATACAAAAGGACATTTATCGTTATTAAGGCTCCTTCTGATTCCCGTAGTCCTGTTTATTGACATCAGAAGGGAGAAAATACTTGCCTAAAGTTAAAACAAAAAGATATGTTCATAAAATGACACTCGATCCTTGACACTTGATTGAACACATTCGCAAAATATTATGAAGACTTTCCTTTTGCACTGTCAGCAATTAACAAACAACCGTAAAATTAACATGACGTGTATGCAACTAACTAACTTAACTATTTTTCGCTAAAGCTTATAACATTTTTGAGAAGAGAATAAATTCTTCTCTTGAATATTGTTTGTTCCAGATTAATCATTATTAAAGAAAAAAAATACCGAGTAATTATTTTTCTTCGCGGTGCAATAATATTCTTCCCTATGTACTGATTAACTTTATTCCGTTGCAGGCTCGGAGGTAGGCAAGTTCGGCGATATATCTATCTCGAGTTGCACCACGACGGACGAAAAATGCATTTTCACACGCGGCAACGATATACAAGTGTCCCTTAAATTCACGCCAAGTTAGTAGTTCACGCTCCAGCGTCGCTCTATCGCTTAATTCGAATTATCTAATTCAATTAGCCGTTGGCGCCCGATAAAAAGCTATTTATGATTGCCATTTCCTTTTTGTAAGGTAAAGACACCTCGACGGTAGAAGCGCGCGCTTTCGGTGTGATGCTCGACGTGCCGGTACCGTTTCCTCTGGAAAAGCCCGATGTGTGCAAGGATGGCGGTCCCGGAGTCAAGTGTCCTCTGACTAAGGACCAAGAATATGAGTACACAACCACGTTCGCTGTAGACAAGGCCGTGCCTGCGGTAATATTTCGTTTGCGATTTTGCCTTGATTAAGACAGCTCAAAAATGTCTTCGGATAAAATTCCGCTCGAAAAGTACAGTCACATCCGAGTCTTTTAAATTTGCGAGTGATTTTGTACTCGTAGAGAGTGCACGGTGAAAAATGTAGTCTCACAAACGGTCCACCTAAACTTATTTAAGTTACTTTAACAATGTGAATATGTGAAAAAATAAAGTGTTGACAAAGATAAATTTGTTAACATATTTGTTTACTTATTCTGTATATTCACCTCATGTTAAAATAACATAGATTTAAGTGGACTGTTTGCAGAAACAAAATTCTTTATTATGCATATTCTTTTATCGTCGAGTAAGTATTTCCATTTGAAATTGAAGAACAAATTATATATTCTATCTTCTGAAACAAATTCCTTCTAGTTGAATGAAACCCTCACTTGTCGATCGATTAAAAATTTACTCTACATTCGGGTCAACGATCTAGTCTTGCAATTCTAAGTAGCAGTATTTTCACTGCTATTTCGAATTTGCGCACGTTTTGAATGGAATTTCACTTCAAGAAATCGAGAGAATATTCTTGAAATTATTCAGCGTACAATTCCTGCGAATTCTGTGTTCTCACTTCGTCACTCTCTTTTTAATGCTTATTTTTACTTTGCTTTTTAGTTGAGCATCGACGTTTTGTTGCAATTTATAAACGACAACGATGAGAAGCTGATGTGCGTGAAATTCCCGGTGAAGATCACGTAAAGGACTTGCGGCACTTCCGTGGCTCGCATTATGAAGAATAATCATAGCAATTTGGTGGCGAGAGATGAATACATGCACAGGTGCAACTATGAAATGTAGATGACGGATTTCATTATCCACATTTCTCCGCAACGCATATCGAAGTATTAACTCAATGCAAATTCTATTGAACAAAATTGTGGAATAAATAAACAGACAGAGATAGTTCCACTGATACGCACGGAGTTGTGTATATTTTTATATTTTGCATCTTTAGTTCTATGTATGTTGTGAGAGAGATCTCTAGATTTATGTACATACTTCAATATATTGGTGACCATCATTATTACTGCGTCTCATAGAGTTTCTTATAAAACACAATTAATTATATTTGATAAATCGATTGTGAAAAATAGTCTAATAGAGAATTAATGAAACGAGGTAAAATACAGGGTGTTTCAGGATCCATGGGGCAAACTTCAGAGGATAGTAGTTTCTCACGAAGAGAACTAATTTTTGTCAAGGAATCCATATATCCTTCGACGTGTCCTTGTTTGGACCGCCTGTGAGATAGGCAACCAGTCGATTATTATCTGTTTTAATGGACACGACTCCGATAAATTACTTTTACCTTGACATATGTTGTCGGAAACATCCTCTCCTGATTAACCTCCGAGAGGTTTTAGTCGGCGGTCTTTGTTTATTAAAATGTGATTAACTAAAAGATTTTTCAGACAAAGTTCAAATAAAGTTGGCAATTTAAATCATTTGTCTTCTCACGCGCCCTTTTCACTTTTATCGTTTATTTTATAATAAACTGTTTAATAAACAATAAACGACGGTTATAATATTTAGAAAGATGTTTAGAAAACCTTAATTAGCAGACAACCGAACACACAAATGTGGTAATTCACAATTGTGGTAATTAGAAAAATTAAGAACGGGTTGGCTTAAAAACTGTTTTTTTTTTTCATTTTTTAACGTATTTCTCCGACTTACTTAACTTTTATTATTTTGACACAATGTAGGACAAACCTACTGTAATTTAGCACACTGGCATTATCCTAAAAGTGGGAGATTAACGTTTAATAGACGGTATGCTTCGAGCAAGCGACAGTAACGACGACATAGAATTTGTGAAAACATCGTCGATAATGTATCTAACAATTTCGTCCGCATATTTTTGCGCCGTGATGTGCTCTTATTACGTATCATGCGTCGCTTATTTTTACAAGGACTGTGGTGAGTACGCCGTGTCATTCTCGTCAGTAATAAACACGCGATCCTCTTGTAAGTGGATTGTAATTTATTAGGGCTGTCTTCGTAAACACGCTTTTGCTCCGAAAAAGAAATTTCTCCATGATAAAAGAGGAAGAAACGAAGATATCTTTGTGCTGATACGCGATTTTTTTGTACAACAGGCGTCAATTATGTTTCAATATTTATTTCACTTATTAAGGCACGTTATTATGAAACGGTCCGAAATGGATTTCGATCAGAATAATTTCGTTTTCTCTAAAAGACGCGATAGAAATTCAGAGAATAACTGAACAATTCGAATAGGAATCTATTCCTAATAATTCCACCATACGTGCCTCCATAATATGTGCTTAGGTTAGGGAAAGTTAATCTGAAGTTTTTAAGTTAATTTATTAATATCGTTTTTTTTTCAAAGTAACTCGTTAATGTGGCTCATTAGTCATTTGGAAAAATAACTTGTTATCCTTATCGTTATTCAAGAAGCAACGTCGTGATTTCCATTGCAATTTTTCATCAAGATTCAAAGATTCTTCTTCTTTACGTTTCACTACCGCTCATTCCATGCTCACGTGTATTTTATGTGTACAAAACATTGACGAAGCTTATTTTCGGTATAGTTACTCAAGTAGCGTGATCATGTTATCGTTACTATTATTATTAATGGTAAAAAACTTTTATCAAGTTATTAACAAAAAAAGGCTTAACCGTAACTACGTTGTAACTTGTTACTTTTCGCAACCTTGACATAATTATTATTATATAATATATTACCAACTAGCCTCGGTGTCTTCTATCATTTTCTTATAATTGTAAGAAATATTTTGTTATCTTTACAACAAGTCGAAAAAGGAGAAAAAAATGCAATCTTTGTTATCTTTATAATAAGTCGGGAAAGGAGAAAAAAATGCAAACCTTTTGCTTATTCTTCTTGTTCTCAACATTGGCGTGGCAATGCAAAAATGTTCGTACTTTTCCTATATTTTCAAGCTTCAGGAAGAAAACGGTAGGAACCGGTTTCTTCCAATATTTTCCCGGTTTTATTCGAGCCTACGGAACATTAAAAAGCCTGTGTGTATTTATTAATTTTTATTTGATATTAGACATCAATATGTAATATTAAATTAATATTTATTTATCCTTCATTTTAGGCTCAACATTAGCCGTATATGCATTTGGTTCAGTTTCGGGCTGTGAAATGAACTTAAAATACTGCCACCTTTCATCATTTTGGCCTCATGGCAATAAACTTCAAGTTACCATCAGATTTATGCCAAGTATTCAAAAGAATTAATAATTAATAATTATTTTAAATTTAATATCCACGATTTATTCTGATATGTTTCCTCTACAGCTACTGACATCCCACAAGTTAATGCTCGTGCGTATTACATAAAGTCCAATGAAACTGTACCGATAAGTCAACCTGACGTCTGCAAAAATCTTGCTAGCGGAATAGTGTGTCCTTTGAAGAAGGATCGGCAGTACACTTACACTTCTATGTTTCGCGTAACTAGAATCTCGGTGAGTGTCGTAATTTGTAATCATTGATTTTTTGAGATGAATCCTGACAAAACTGACTGAGTGATTCTCGTTGTCTTCAGAATGATTGCTTAGAGATGAAGTGGGAACTTGTGGACGCGCAAGGAGAGAAAATAGTATGTTTAATATTTCCTTTTAAAACTGGGATTACAATGGATCATTTATATATACACTGTATTCCGCCGAAAGTTTGTACAAACAGAGTCCGTATAAATTAGTAAGAAGAACTGATTCAACTTTCTTTGTAATTCTAATGCTTGCCAATTAAAAGACCCAATTGTTCTCAAATTTTCGTTTTCTCGATCATTCAAAATCTGATAAAAAATTGAACATTGAAAACTTTACATTTTTCTTGCGTGTCGCGTGCATGCATACGTATGTGTGTGCTTATATGTGCGAATGCGACTGTACGCGCCAATTTGCACGTTATTTCGAAATTGTTCTATTGATACGTTAAAGTTGAACATTAGAAACCTTTACCGTAATTTAAAGCGCGTCGAGGCCAAAATAATAATAATAATAAACAGGTGCCATTTATTTATCTATAGGACGCAATAAAATCTTCCAGTTCCGACGATAGCCGCGAGTCTGCTGATTAAAATAACGTTTTCATTTTTCCATTTCAGTCCACTGGTCTGATATCCAATTAATTGCACGCGAATCGGAGGTCCGATAGCTTCATTTTACAAAGAAAAAATATAAAAGGACGGGAAGAAATTTTGGAAAATATTTATCCACTTTTCCAGAAAATATTCTTAAAAACAGCTTTAAAACGGCGCGATGCGAAACCCCTTAATAGAAAACCCCCTTAAGATTGAAGCGAAATGACAGATGATTGGTCACCCCTCCTATGCTTCTTTTTCCGTCCCGCTTTTCCGTTCTGCCTTTCTGTTCTACGTGGAACGGCACCCTAAGAGGAAAGTTATCGCATTAGATTCTTTAGTATATGACGCGGCACGGGGAAGAGGACAAAGGCGACACTGCGGCGCGTCCCGAAGCGGCAGCATTAGTAGCCATACGCAAGCCGTGCAAGTATCTTCGATAATGATGAATCGAGCAGTTACATCTGTACTCTTTTGTGCCGTGTTGTGCTCTTGTTACGCGTCGAGTGTCGCGTACAGGGATTGCGGTAAGTATATCGTGCCATTCTCGTCAATGATGAGTCGTGCTTGGGCTCCTCTCGCAAGTGGGTCAGATTTATTAGGGTTGCCTTCGAAAACGCGCTTTGGTTTCAAAAGGGAAAAGAAAAGAAAGAAACGGAGGAACGTCTATTTCATTGATCCGCATCTTTCGTATATTAGGTGTCATATGCTTTAATATTTACACCGGAAAAGTTACTTTTTATGAGTCATTTAATAAAATATTGTTTCTTAGAGAAGAGAAATCTTGTTTTCACCGTTGTTCGTCAGTCATTTTACTCATTTTTTTACTCATTATTTTGAAAAATAGCTCGTCATTCTTGTCATTATTTAAGAAGTGGAAGTATTTTTCCAATTACCCTTATTACTTTCCATCAAGTTTTGAATGTATCTTTTATGATTTGCTGTCACTCATTTCATGTGTACATGTTCTATGTGTAAAAAATAACGACGAAATATTTCTAATGGTAGCGGCATTGTTACATGTTATTTTTCAACCCTGACTTAATCGTTGTTTTTGCTATTTATTGCCATTAAAAGATCGGTTATCTTACTTTTACGGGTTTTCACATTGTGTTGCATCTAACGTAGATTTGAAGTATTATTATATTGTTCAATATATTTAATTAATTTATTAATTGCTTAATATATTTAATTAAATATCATATTGTTATATTATATATACACAATGTTTATTTGTGTCGATGTTTATCTATGGTTGCGTGCCGATATTCACGGCAAAATCTATAGTATGTGTGACATGAACTATAGATTTTCAGTATTGCCAGTGAACATCGGAACTCAGCCTATGTTTATGTTCTTCATGTTTTCTTTTAAAACTACTGTCATAATATTATTACATGTGAGATTAGTCATAGCACTGAACCCAGATAACCAAGTGTGATGAGCATTTTCAGCAAATTAATGCACAGCACGTGTTGTTACACATTTGCTGTAGGAAAGACCGGATCTGGTTGTCACTTTTTACATATTGATTAAAAGGAAAAGTCGTGTGCAATATCTCATAATATTGTATACATTATAATGTAGCCACATCCTTTAGATAAAAGAAAAAAAATATTAATCTTATATATATTTATGCACAAAGGAGTTACTTAATTGTAAACAATTTGTTGCGCAAATGTGACATCTGATCCCATATCCTGGGTCAATTGTCACGTATTTTTTATGTAGATAAAGCAAGAATATAATTAGTTATAAGAATAAAGATAGTTTAAACGTGGCCTTTTAATATTTAATTTTACAAGGCTGACTTAAAAAAATTATATATGTATTTATATATCACATCATTAATAAAAAAGACATAAATTATTTCTTTTATAGAAACTTAAGTGCGTAATTAAACTAATTAAATTTACTTTAACAACATTCGGCGATCGGTATATGTACGCCTCCACGCACATGCATAAGGAATGTCACAGCGTGATAGCCAGTCTTACCAGATTTGAGCCAATTCATCCCGAACGTTCATTTACAATAAAAGAGATTATATTTATAAATAATGTTGCGGTGACGATGAATTAAATATTGGAGAAATGAGCAGAAAGTGTAATATTTCTCACAAATCAAGAGACTAGTAATCTTGAAACTAATAGAACATTGGCAATAGAGACGAGAAAATATTTACTCACGTATCTAAATTAGAAGATAAAAATACTTATAAATACCATATATGTAGTGTTTTAGCTATAAGCCGTTTCATACATTCGACTAACACGATATAAGCAAGTTACACTATAAAGGAGAATATTTTCCTTTATTTATTACGTGAGATATAAACTTTGTGACTTCCGACCCGTGTGACTTCTAGACCCGGTCTCCCCTACATTTACTAACATCGACACAGAATGTGTCATGTGTTAAATGCAGCAAAATAAATCCTCATACAAGCGATTGGATGTCGAAATTTCAAGAGACTGTTTGCTCTTCAGTGCAAAGCATCATGACAACAACTGGTGATTCGCAGATCCGTTCGGAGCATATCGTGACGACAACGTGACGGCAAAAATGCAAATGTAACGATGCCCATCCATTGTCGTATATATGCCCTCAAGTAGTGCAACAAATTTGCTGTCAATAAAGTATCAACAGTATGACATAGTTATATAACATAGTGGTTTCAACAAGACGGAGCATCAGCTCATCCTATTAGGATATTACAGATTTTGTCGAATCAAAAATATTCATGCCGATAGATCGGACGTAAAAGATCTGTAGTATAATTAGTTTCATTCACCCGACCTTACGCCCTTAGATTACTTTTTATGAGGTTACGTCAAAGACATTGTGTACTCTGAATCTCCAGCAACTCGTGGTAATATGATCGCTCGAATCACTAGCAACGCTTGGAAACATTTGAGGTACCAAGAAGAGCAGTGAATTGGCACACAGAATTCATCTGTATCGGCGAGTCTAAGGTCAAAATTTCGAACGTTTATTGTAAAAAAACCGAAATACAAGACATATATTTGAATTTTATCTTACTAATTTTATCTTACTATTGCAACTGCTTATCCGATATCCTGAAGATACCTTCCGTCTAAACTGGAAAGATTATTCGAAAGAGCCTGTCGGAATGAACAGATCTAATTTCTGCGATTAATCAGATCTCGATGCTCTGGACAATGGCGAGAGTGATTCTCCGCCGAAAAATACAATCAAGTTTCTTGAGCCTCGCAGTTGTGTGATTAAATTCGTCTTTCGTTCAATGCTATATAATGAGACATTATTTAATAGATCGTGCGTATTAAGTTATGCAGTATTAATTAATCTCTTTAAGATATCAAAATACCGCCACACAACTGGGGATATTAAAAATTAATAACAATGTTACTATATTGATATTATCGGTAATAGGTAATAACGCGTTTGATTAATTATGAGATTGGAATATACTGCGAACAGGTAGCCCGGTTTGCGTTAATTATTTATTTGACGTTCGTTATTAATATATAACATTAAATTAATACTCATTTATTTGATATTCCAGGCTCGACATTGAGTAATGTCACCGAAGTGTCAATTCCGGGCTGCCACGAGATGGACGCAAGGTGCACTCTTATACCTGGCGTTAACATGATGCTGTCCATCAAATTTATACCTAGTAAATATTCGCAAGAATTGGAATACACATTTTTTATTTATTAAATATCAATTTGATACGGTTCAATTAATTGGATTAATCAATTAAATCATATTAAATTTCATTTCGTTCGTAAATTTTATTACGCAAAAATCAATTCGGATTTGATTCAATATTTAACTTGCTTCATTAAATAATCTTAATAGTCTGCTCTGTTTCGAACATAATTTCCACGATTTTCATATATTTCTTCCACAGATGTTGACATCTCACAGGTGAATGTCTTTGCACATGGCGTGGTGTATCACGTCTCTTCACCCCTACCGCTGGACGAACACGACGTGTGCAAAGATCCTTACAGCGGAATACAGTGTCCTTTGGAGAGGGGCCAGGAGTATAATTATATGTACATGCTTTCTCTACACAAGAAAACCCCGGTGAGTATTGTAATTAATAACCATTGATTCTTCGAAGTGTATCTTGACTAAACTGACTAATGTTTCTCTTTATTTTCAGAACTATCGCCTGGACCTTAAATGGGAGTTTCAGGACGCGGAAGGGGAGAAAATAGTGTGTGTAATAATTCCTGTCCAAGTTAGAGTAGTCAAAGATTAACATTTATATTGATTCAATTGTAAAAGTTTGTGCAAGGAAGTGATTTAACCTTTTTGTAATTCCAATTTTTTTAAATAAAAACCAATGATTTTTTTTTTTAATTTTCTTCAATAATTTGAAACGAAGTAACCAAATTGATTTAAATTTCTTTTATATATAACGTGTGTGTGTGCATGCGTGCGTATTGTATGTCAACGGTAATTACCTATTTTAACGAACACAGTTTCGATGATTTATCTTGACCTTGATATATATATTTTATTTGTAACATCCACCTGACTAACCTCCAAAAGGTTTTAGTCGATGGTCCTTATTTATTAAAAAAATGATTAACAAAATAATTTTTTAGATAAAGTTCAAATAAAGTTGACAATTTAAGTAATTCTTCTTCTTCTATTTAAAAGCTTTTCATAATAAGATTTTCATTAAACGGTAAATGATGGTTATAACCTTGAAAAAGATTATTTAGCATAACAATTGTAGAAATGAGAAAAATTAAGAGAAAGGCAGGCTGACCTAGAAATAATTCTTTTCACATTTGTATCATATTTCTGAGATTTCGGTTTTAGCATTTTAACATAATGTACTGCAAACTTACTAAAATTTAACATACTAGCCTTAACTTTCGGTTTTAGCATTTTGGCATAATATATCACGAACCTGTCACGGTTCAACAAACAAATTTGTATATTCTAAAAGTGGGGGACTAACCTTTAATAAGCGGCGCATTTCGAGATGCGGTGACATTAGTAACCGTACGGAAATCGTGCAAACAACGTCCATGATGAATGTAACAATTTCATTCGCACTCTTTTGCGTCGTGCTGTGCTCCTGTTACGCGTGTTGCATCGCGTACCGAAATTGCAGTGAGTTACTCAATAATAAGCTACGTTTGCGATTCTCTCGGAAGTGTATCGGATTTATTAGAATTGTTTGCAAAAGCGCGCTTTTGTTCCCGAGAAGAAAATTTGTTCCTAGTAGACTAGGAAGAGACAAAGGAACGTCTGTTTGGTTGATCCGCGTCTTTCGTACACCAAATGTCATATACTTTATTACTCATTTTAGGATTGGGAATATTACTTTTTATTAATGATTTATTAAAGTCGTTTTCTAAGAGTAACTCGTTACCGTTACTGGTTAATCTTTTTGAAAAGTAATTTGTTATCCTTATTGTTATTCAAGAAACAAAGAAACGTTACGATTGCTGCTATAACTTTTCACCAAGTTTTGAAGATTTTTTTATAATTCGCTACCGCTGATTCCATGTATTATTTTATGTGTATAAATTAACGACAAAAATATTCTCGTCGTTTTTTTCAAAATATCGTTTTGTTATCGTTATTCAAAAAGTTCAATAGCGTTATCATTATTGTTATTAATTGAAATAGTCGTTACGAAGTTGTTATTAAAGAAAAATAACTTTAAAATGGTAACGGCTATTCTAACATTTTATTTTCCAACCTGACATATTTATTATTAGAGGACGGCTGTTTTTGTATTGTTTCCTCTTTTACATCTAGTCGATCGTCTTATTTTGTTTTGTGACCTCACACGTTTTATGTTGCGTTGTGTCTGTTTTATTATATATTAGTTAGATCAACGTGAGTTAGGAGTTAAAAGTGGCAGTACTGAATTCTCGGAAACGGCGGATTGTTAAGCAGAAGACATAAAAATGTTCGTTCCCTGGTGTCAGATATATTTAGAAAACAATGGTAACTACGTGGAAAAATAAAGTAGATATGTACAAGTATTGTATCGGTAATAAAAGTTTTTCCTCTTACTTTGTTTTTCTTTTTAACGTCCGACGAGTCTTCACTTTTAAAATGCGCATTATATTAAATAAATATTTTTTTCTGTTCCAGATTTGCACAATTACACATTAGGCAGAGCTACTAATATCTCGGTTTCGGATTGTAACATAACAGACTCAAGGTGTATCCTTATGCCTGGCAGAAATGCGTTATTGTCCGTCGAATTTATGCCCTGTAAATATTCACAAGATTGGAATATTTCCTTTTCATTTGTTATAAGTTAATTTGATATTGTTAATTACAAAATTTGGATTACTCGGTTAAATCATACGTATTTCATTTGTTCATAAATTTCTTTACGTAGAATTTAATCTGAATTTAACTTAACATTTAATTTGTCTTATTAAATAATTTTAATTATCATTTGCTCCTTCCTAAACGTAATTTCAATGATTGATTTTGACGTGTTTCCTTCACAGACGTTGATGTCGAACAAGTTTATGTGCGTATGTATAGCGTGGTGTCCACTGTTACTGTACCTTTATCGCTGAAGACACCCGATGTATGCAAGGATCCCAACAGCGGAATACAGTGTCCTTTGACGAAAGATCATAAATACAAATATAATAACACAATTGTCATACATGAGGGATTTCCGGTGAGCGTTGTAATTTCCAAACATTGATTTCTCGAAATATCTCGACGATACCGACTAATAATTTTTCTCTTCAGTATTTTTTCTTAGACATTATGTTGGAGTTTGTGAACGGAGGAGGAGAGGCAATAGTGTGTATACTAATTCCTGTCCAAATTGGAACCTTATCAAAGTAGTAGATTTACATTCAGATTAATCCAATGTAAAAGTTTGTGAGAGAACCTGATCTAACTTATTTTGTAATTCTAATGTTTGTTAATTAAAAACTCTTGTTTTCGCAAATTTCCTTTTTCTCGATCATTCAAAATGTAACAACGCAAGATTGATTGAAATTTCTCTACATGTAACGCGTGCTTTCTAAGAGATTGTTTTTGCATGTTTATCCACAACATTTGCAAAACACACGTTTAAGCATAACTTTCCGACAAGAATCGTCCTTATCCAAGTCCCGATATTATAAAGACCGGGTTTTACAAAGAACAATTTTCGAAAAACCGAAATAGATCATACTTACGGGCATTTACATTTACATATAACCGAAGAAGATCCGCATTGGACCGTATTTTTTTCTACACAATTATAATAAAACATTCATATCGCTTGAACAACGGCGGTTTTGGCTCTGACGCAGATTACGTACATTTATTTAATATGTTATAACATATATTGCTCCATAATCACCTCGCTTTTGACTTGCCAACTAGAAAGGAATATTTAACATTCTTTATCTTAATGTTAACATATTTAGCATTCGTGCGATGTGACCGAAAGATTACAGCGAATTGCAGATTCCTACGTGGCGGCCGGCTCGGTCGATATAGCGACAAGACGAGGAGGGAGTTAGCTTTTTAGATTCGCGCCGGTATAGTGGGATGTGCGAGGACAAGAGGGAAGGCGAAGCGGCGCGACGTCGCGCTTCGAGCTTATATGTGTTTACGGCTTCGAGACGAGATATCAGTAGCGGTGCGGAAGCCTTGCAAGCATCGTCGATAACGATGAGTCGAGCGGTTATATTTGCGCTCTTCTGCGCTGTGCTGTGCTCTTGTTACGGGTCATGCGTCGCCTACGTATACGAAGATTGCGGTGAGTACGCTGTATCATTCTCGCCAATAAGGTAAGCCAGAGCGCAGCGATCCTCTCGTAAGTGGATCAGACTTGTTAGAGTCGTCCTTGAAAGCGCGTTTTCGCCCCAAAAAGGGAATTTCTTCTCGCGCTAGAAGACGAAGAAATAGAGGAACGAAGGAACAGAGGAAGGTCGGTTGATTCGCATCTTTTTTACCACGGGAGTCATTTGCGCTTTAATACTTATTTCAATGTTGGGAAATACTTCCTTCTTGCCGATCAGTTTTTCGAAGTAACTCGTCATTCGGCTCGTCGTCGGTTATTTCAGGGAAAATAATTCGTTATTCTTGTCGCTCTTACTCAAGGAGCGGTGAGTCGTCACGATTTCATTTATCCATTTATTTGTTTTCATCAATTGTTGAATATTTCTTTTTTACGTTTTCCTACCCCACATATTTCGTGCATTCTGTGTGCGCCAAGTAACGACGAAATTACCGATTATTTAGCCTAAAAACTTAATTGCGTTATTATTATCGTTACTAATAGGAAAAATCTATTACCGAGTTGTTATGAAAAAAAATAAAATTCTAATTGCCACAGCATTGTGTGTGTCGGTGTAACTGTGTATGTTTTATTTTCCAAAACCTTGACTTATTATTATTATTAAAGCGTAGTTTAGCACATCGAGATAGATACCATCAAATGTAGGTCGAAATAAAATAATTTATTTTCTAGATAAAATTTCGTCCGAACGGCCTTAAGCATAAAATCCGACTAGAAATATCGATCATAGTCATGATTCTCCCATTTTTTTTTTCGCGATAATCGTCTTAGTTATTATTAATTTTGTCATTAATATTTAGATATTAATATTTATAGTAGTATTATTATAAATATATATATTATTATCTTTTAGTATTAATATTAATATTTTAGATAATAATATTTATTATCTTCATGTTTTTTTTGCATTCGAAATATCCTCCTTATCACGTATTCGACGTGTTCGGAAAAGTAGAGGTTTTCGTTTCGAAGAAAAAAATGGCCCATTTTCTTGATCAGCGTCGTCTCAGGCCGGTATTCATAGTATTCCGATATTTAAGATAATCTGAAGTTCATCTTTGGATGCTGTAACTAATGAAGTGATCTGTGTAGCATCTGAAAAACTTGAGATGAACTTTAATACAAGATCTGACTGTAAACACCTCTCCTCTGTTTGTTTTTGCCATCATGATTTAAATTTAATCGACTACGATTAACGGTTTCGACCAATCGCATTGATCGGTCAGCTAATTGGCTACTTGACGATTGGTCAATACTGTTGAGTCAATCGTCGATTAGATTTAAACCTTTAGATGATAGGAACAGGCATTAGTCATGATTTTAGAGAAGATCGATCACGGATCTTCTCCTCTAGCATGAACTCATGCAAGTTCTTCAACTTGAAAGCACTTAGAAATGTTCATTTCTCGTGAACTCACACTCGGAAGAAAAGAGTCACGATCATTCCTTGGAAATTGACTTCTCCTTAATCGTTTAAGTATCGGTGTCCTCTCTTTATCCGATATCCCGAAGATACGTTTCATTCGGAACGTGAAGATAGCTCAGAAAGAGACGATACGATCAGATCGAATTTCAGTGAGTGATCAGATTTCGACGCTAGACGAAGGCGGGAAAGACTTGTACGTCTTCTTCGTGGTCAACGGGAACGCGTTTAGCTCATTGCGAAGTTTCTCCCGCGCATCCGGGATGCTTGTTGGCGGCAAACGTGGCCGTCCGATTCCTCGTTCCCCGTTTTTCCCACGTGAACGCCACGTGTTACGTTATTTTGGTCTCGGAATCGGGAAGTCGTATTCAACGTCCGCAACGTGCATCCAGAACACCTTTGTTACACACTTCAGCCCAAATTTCCCAAACATTTATCTCTCAGGCTTATTCTTCAAGATTTATCCTCCGATATTTTAGTCTCAATCTCGGATCCGCGTTTAGATAAATACCGGAAATATGTAATCTGATAAACTTTGTAACTTTGAAGCATGATATATTGTAAATATCCAGCCTGGCTAACGACAATGTGCGACCAATACATTTTTTTTCAACGTACGCATCATTTCGAGACGAATACGTAGCAGAATTGTTTTCCTACGATGCGCTCGAACAGTATTTCAATTGCTTAGCTCCTGTGTGAAGCTAACGTTTCCGATCGCGCAAACATATTTGTTACACTAAATAATTTCACGATTAAATATTTAATAAACTCTTTCGAAAAAAATATCAACCGCATGTTTAAGTTTACTATTTGCACATATATGGCTTTTTTTGATTATAATATTATTATAATGATATATATACATACATGTATATAATATATACATAATTTTAGAAATTGAGTAGCACTTTCGTTTGACTTTCGAAGTAAATTGTTAATTTTAAACTGTCGTATTGTCACTGAAAATGAGCAGAAAATCGCGATTCACCAAGCTGTGTTGTGTCTCGTGACGATATGGACTATCTCTCGAAATCGGAGATGGTGGGATACTAGCGCGTGTTTCCTCGTGTTATCATATATGTTTAGGTGAGAAAAGTATCAAAATACGTCGTGGCCACAATTCGTGACTGACGAACTTATTTGCGGATTAAGTTATCGATTGCGATAACAATGCATAACAAGTCGTAACGAAGGGTGTGCGACGTTCATTATCGGACATTGGCAGCTTCGCATATCCATGTAAAAAAATCTCACTGAAGTCTCATCTTGTCGTTTGAAAAACTTTCCCGCCGGAAATTACGATCGGGTGTCACGAGACTCGCAATCGCCGAAGTTTAGACTCGTTTGTCCATTGCTATTTAACGAGATGTTATTTAATCGACCATACGCTTTAATGTAGTATTAACTTTATATAATTTATAATATTAATGAAAATAATATTGATAAAATTATATATTTTCATTAATTATTCATTAATTATTTATTGGGTATTCGATATTGATATGTAATATGTAATATTAGATTAATATTCATTTCTTTTTTTATTTCAGGCTCGACGCTAGGCAAGTTCTCGGACGTTTCAGTTACGGGATGTCAAACAACGGACGAAAACTGCGCCTTAAAACGTGGCACTAACGCGACGATATCAATAAAATTTAAACCGAGTAAGTGACTCGAGAGGTCGGAATACTTCCTATTTATTTATTACAAATAAATCCGATATAATCGTTTATTATAAAATTCAGATGAATCAATGAAATCGTATTGTAAACTTTATTATTGATCGTATTTCCTGCATCAAATTTCATTTGATGAAAGTAAATTCACATTTAACTTTAAACTTCCGCTTTATTAAATAATTTCAATTATCATTTGTTCCGTTTTGTGATAATCATAGTTTCTATGATTTACTTCGTTATGTTTCCCCCATAGATGCGCACATCTCACAAGTTCTAATACGTGTGTATGGCGTGATGCTCGATATTCCCATACCTTTCCCGTTGGATAAACCGGATATGTGCAAGGATCCCGACTGCGGAGTGAAATGTCCTCTGGAAAAAGATCAGGAGTACACGTACACGACTACGATGTATGTGCAGAGGAAGTTCCCCTCGGTGAGCGTTGTCTCTTATTATCGTTGATTTTTCAAAATGAATCTCGACGATATTAATTAATGGACTTACTGATTAGTGAATTCTTTATCTTTCGCAGGTAAATGTGTACATTAAGTGGGAATTTGTGGACGACAAAGAAAATAAAATAGTGTGTGTAATATTTCCTGCCAGAATTACAACATAGAGAAAACATATCAAATATATTTAGATTGATTTGATGTAAAAGATTGCGAAAAGAACTGAATCAATGTTTTTTATAATTTATAACTTTCTTGATCCTTAAAAAAAATCTTCGAGTTTTCTCTCAAGTTGTCTTTTCGACAAATCAAAATGTAATAATAAAATTGATTTAAGATATCTACATTGCGGTATAACATAGTGTGTTTGTGTGTGTGACTGTGCACGGTATTGCTATATGCGCGGTACTTCGAAATCGTCGCATTGAAACGCGTCAAGGTGAAAATGGGTTGCGACGGGATGAAAAGAGAGGTTTGGAAAATATCGCTTATATTCTTTTCTTACAAGAGTGCAACGTCTCGTAACAACAGCCGTAAACAACTTAGAATCTTAATAAATAAATAAATAGAAAATACAGCATCTAGAAATGTAATCCGCCCTTGAACGGTTAAGAATTAGTTTCAAGGCTCCTGTTTCGCCGTCGAATAATACACGCTCGAAATTCTTGCTAAATACTTTAAAAAGACGTGTCCGTAAAATGACATTTGCGGTCGATTATAAGACGCCTGTTTCCTCGGCGTAACCATTTTGATTAAGGGTGCACAGAAATCATCGTAAAAATTTCTCACAATTCCGAAGACTCCCAACATTGGTATTTTACCATAAATATCATAAAAGGATACATGTGATCGATTGAGCGCACTTGTGAAATATTCCGTGAACTTTCCTTTTACTTTAATAATTTTAATAAATAGCCGTGAAATTGACATGACAAAATCATGCGAAAAGTTAAACTAAGAAGGAAGGTTTTCAGAATATCTTACAAATATGCTTAATCGACTACAAGTGTGATTTTGTATCATTTTAATTCAGTGTATTTCGCAAGAATTTTAGGCATGCTTTCCTTCGTTTCTGACAACGTTATCAAATAAGACGACCGCAGCAAATGAGCAGGAGCCTTAAGCACAGATTTGTAAAATATTCTAAAACTCCCTTTACTACAGTTATCAATAAATAGCCGTGAAATGAAGAAAATCATGTAATTAAGAGGCCATGTGACACGTGACAGAAATATATATAGCTAAAACAGGCTACTTGAGACAAATTAATTAATTCTGCGGCTATTTATAGATTCATTAATTATCAGTATAGAAGAAAAGTTCCCCGAAGATTTTACAAATCTACTTAATTGGCAATGTCTTTTTTGGTGGATATATTTTTTGCTTCAATTTACTTTGCAAGAATTTTCTATCTTCTCGCTTTTGAAGTCACCAACCGAGATAATCATGGTGCAGACTCAGAAGAGCCATAAGTCAGAGCTGTCCATAATGTGCGCTTGTTAGCGACTACTTCGCGCTCCAGATTTTATTAATTTTTTTCTACTGAAAGAAAAGAACGAACTCTCCTTATGATTCACCGAATTGAGATCCGAGTCTTATTAATATAATTTAATTCGAATCGGACAATTGGATGAGTATAAAAATGAAATGAGAAAAAATATATACAAATGAAACATATGTACATTTGCGATTTTTCCAAAATCTCTCGATAAGAATTCAACTTGAGATTATCACGCCCGAAAAGCGAAGTTCAACTGATCGCTCTCTCTTGGTTCGGACAGCTCCGACGTGAGTAAAGTACTAATGACAATAACTTATCTAGCCGCGTATGTAGTCAGTCTAATCGGTTGAATCGTACGAATTTGCGCCGTCTCCTCCGTGCTTACGTTAGCTTTCGTTAATAATCGTCGTCGAACGTTATGTACTAAAATCTCATTGAATACGTCCGGTGTTCGACATGTATCGGTGTTGGTTCGATGCTACTTCGTTCCCCTTCGTTGAAGACGACACCGATACACGTAATCTCGGTAACTTTGGCGTCCACCCTCCCCGTCGATTGTCCCGTCATTATCAACTGTCCGTCATCGACTCGTCGATCTGATGGATCGTTCTCTTGCTGCGCTCTCTGACGTGGCTCTGTTGGCCGTTCCTCAACGTTTTCTGCGCCTGATATATCGGCTCGTACTCCCTCAGCTGCGTCATGAAGCCCTCGTTGGGGTTTATGCAGAATCTCCTTTGCTGCACTATCGCGTACGCCTGTCTGAAGAGCATCATTGCCGGTTACACACACCGATTCATCATGAAATGCACGTCGCTTCATATCGAAAGAACTTACGTCTGTGAGAGCCCGTACGTTTCCATCATGTATGCCAAGACTAGTGCAGCGGATCTCGAGATGCCGGCATTACCGTGCACGAGGACTTGACCGCCAGAATTCAGTCCTTCGTCGATGAACGTCTTGACAGTTTGGAAGTGCTGTATGATATTTTCCGTCGCGATGTCCGCGATATTCAGCACTAGATATCTGTCGAGAGAATACGCAGGATGAGTTATGAGAATAACACATGTAGCGTGAATATTATTATACAGGGTGTCCTGAAGTTTGTCGGTTTAATTTTGGGACATCCTGTATATTAACACTTTAAATAACTTCTACAGTTTTGATATTGCGGAGAAAAGTGTCGGAGGAAAAATTTACTCTTCAGCGGAGTACATCAAATAATCCAAATTAATTTGTTATGTAACGAAGTATAAAAAGTTTCCGGTCGCTTCTCTCTCTGAAGAAATGAAACTGAAATGTTCACGAAATGCTGGAAATAAATCCATGAAGGACGCAACACCAACTTGGAAGCTAAATTAAACATTTTTCTACATCACAAGAGTTCTCTACATCACAAGAATCTAAAATATCAAAGCGTAAAAAATTCATTCCGAGCATTTAACTGAGTGTAACATATTTCTTTTGAGGCACTTTTCTGTAATATCAGATTTATAAGTTATTTACTAAATATTAAGACATAGCGACCTTGCTTTGCGTAGTGGATGAAAGTTAAGAGTAAGGTGTAATTGTAACTCTAAGGGGGAGTAATGCAGGAAGTGTTACAACGAATCTACTTATTACTAGCGTTATTATCACCGTCACTATTCCTTGATCGCATACTTGAACTTATCGGGAAAGTTGGGCCTGATAAAGTTTGCCTCTATGTCTTGCCTGACGCAGACTATGTGCGTTATTCCATGCTCAAGCAGGCTGTCCAGTTTGGAACGACTAGCAGCGCTGTACGGGCCAAGGAATAAGCCAGGTACTACTTCCTGCGTGATGGATATAATTATATTACAGTTAATGATGTATCGTTTGCTTTCTTGTATAGAAATAATTGACTGAAATATATTGTTATTTAGTAATTACCTGCATTTGTCTTCTCATTGTGTATGTCCATTCTTTAGGCCCTTGTATTGAGGATGTAGGTAATTCTGGATAATCCTGATCAGTTCCTAATTCTCTGGTGCTTTCCTGCAATATTGACATCAAATTTTTGTCATTTGCTGAATTTATTTAACCAACCTTAATTTATTATAATTAAATAAATAAGTATTATAAATAAATAAATAAATAAATAAATAAATAAATATATATATATATATATTTATTTATTTATTATATGTATATATATATATGTAAAATTAACAATATAATATCTAATATATAATATATAATATATAATATGATATAATATCTAATATATAATATGTAAATATATATAATTTAAATATAAAATCTAAAATTAATATAATCTCATTATCGTAATAAAAACTTACTATGATAAATTAAAATAAAAAATTTACATATTCTAAAATTTATGTATTTTTGGGGGAATTTTTGTATTTTCTAGAAGGAAAGTTTCACGAGTGAAATGGGACTACGATGAGATTTTTACTGTGAGAAACTCAGAACCCAATGAAAAAAAATACTATCTCGGATGAATTGTGATGTTTCTAACTTTAACACGTTCGCTGCCAACTACGAGTATACTCGTAGTTAATATATAAGTCTCACAAGTCAACGAATATACTCATATGTCGATTACCGACCTCCTACGTGAAACACAAGTTAATCCGTAGTATAAGCACGTTAATTTGGACCCTTGGCTTTTAAATAAAGCGGAGAGCACGTCTAGGGGCTTGGTAGAAGGAAAATTTTTTAGCAAAAGTATAGCATATTATAAGAGATATTGTTGCGTAAACTGTATATTTATTACTATAAATAAAATTATTTTTTGAAGTTTTTTCAACATTTTAATATACACATATTTATATAGGATAGGATATATATAATGCACAAGTAAAAAAAGGAACAAGTTAAATTTTAAATAAAACACTAACTGTATTATAAACCTATAAGTGGAAAAAGTCAATCTTTTTGTAGATAAAATTACGAATGGTACACTTTAAAACAATTTTCCATGCACAGCGGTGGTTTTCCCTGACACACAGGACAATAATAACGTGTTTCGCGTCGTTGTTTGTTTCGTGTACATACTCTGCACGGTTTTGTCGAGTGATTCTTTTTTTTTCTGTAGGTGATAACATTTCCAAATAATGTAGATCGCGAATCCTGTTGATATTCCGCGATGTCGTAGGCTCATCCATTCCAACAAAAACTGAGACAAATTATCTCTAAATTTTAGCGCAGTCATTGCATTTCCAGTAACTATATTATAAAATTTCGGCGCATTTTGGATGTATATATAAAAAATGTATATTGCCAATTTCTTTGGCCATCTAATTGTCTTTCGTAAGGCGGAATAGTAAGAAAGCATTTGATCAGAAAGATCGATGCCTGACATACCCAAATTATAAGTCCCTAACGATATTTGGTTTTAACTGAATTTTACCATTCCGATTTTTCGCCTCAACCATTTCAAATTTGTGCATATCTGAAATGGAAAGAACCTCTCCCTTATCCTTCCATTTGCTAACTAAAACAGGACCTCTTCTTTGCCAAACGAATTCCCCCTTTTTTAATCTCTTCTGTACAACATCCGGTGGATTGTTTTTCCTATTATTTCGCAGCGTTCCACACACGTAAGTTTTTCTGTCAGTAAGAGATTCAGTCAGAGCTACAGAATTATAAAAATTGTCCACATGCAATACAAAACCCCGGTTTAAATATTCTTCCATCAAGTGAAATACAATATCAGATGCATAACTCATTTTTGCTGAAGAGGATTCAGATTTGCCTGTATTAATTTTTATTTTTATCACCAATCCATTCGATTCGCATAGTTCATAGAATTTCACGCCATATTTATGTTTCTTGTTTCTTATGTATTGCCGAAACGATCGTCTGCCTCGCCACAACACCGATGACTCATCAATACACAATTTTCTGTTTTGGTGTGTAGCTATTTCGCATTACACTATTGAAATGATCTAGGATTGGTCTTAGTTTGTGCAATTTATCTTCAGCCGCATGGGAATTATCCGTGAAATGCAAATAACGCAATAAAATTTGAAATCGATTTCGACTTATTTTTAGAGTGCCAAAATGGGAAATTGTAAAGATGATTTGTAATCCAATAATGCTCAATAGATGGTAAATTGCAAGAACCCATATGAAATAGAAGTCCAAGGAATAATTTCATTTCAGGTATGTCTGTCGCTTTCCAGTTTGAAATTCTTTGACTGTTTTTGATCTGTCCTCGCCTTTGCTCAATATTTTGTAAAGCATATAAATTGGTTTGTTCAACTAAGAGTGAGGAAATCTTGAGAAAAAAAAAAGTTCAACCGACTTTTCGATACCGAAATTTGCGGTGTCAATTTTAAAACCCGTAGTTTCAACAAAGTCAAATTGTGGGGACTCTTGTTCTGAATTTTCCCAAATGATAAATGATAAATGTCGATGTATTTGGCTGGATGCAAGCTTCATCTCCGCAATTTTCTTCACCATCTGAGTCATCGCCAGAATCATCTGTAGGATTATAATCATCTTCGGAATCGGAATCAAATAATTCATTCCATTCATCATCGCTCATATTAGTGTAAGCTTCTAACTCTTCATCAGTAATCTTTCTTTTACTGGCCATAGCGTAACTGAAAATTTATATTTAGACTCTGACCCTGTACTGAAGTTGCATTGAGAATAAGATGTTGTGATACGAGATTACTTGTGGTTGGTGTATGAAACAAAATTCTGTCTAAGCCAGCTACGAGATAACTCGTACTGACCTTGCAGAAATGAAAGTGCTTGGTACGCGCGTTAACAAATTATGCCCGGGGAGCGTGGCAGCGAACGTGTTAAATCATCCTTGGTGCAACATAACATAACCTTAAACCCGTGACGTTAAAAACTCGATGTTAACATATTACATACGCATACTTCGTTGTTGTGAGAGCTCTCATTATCCACCGACAGCATCACCAATGGTAATGTTCCGGTCGTCGGGAGCCGGGAACTCACGGGGAAGCACAAGGACACAGGAGCGTTTTTTCCCCGCACCCTCACACCCGCTGTTCCCTCTTCAATCAGGATATTCGTCCCCGTCTTGCCCACGATTTCCCCGTTCGACTCCACGCCTCCTTTGTCTCCAGATTGATTCGGCTTTTAATTCCTTTCCGATATTCGAGGTAAATTTTGCGATGACAATGTTATCGTATCCTCGCGAGTGTCAATCGCGCTGCACGCTGGATCGATCGTCGCGCGCTCTTTTGATGACAGCGGTAGTTTCATTTCATGGACGCAAACCACACACACAATATATATATAAGTCGGTATTCACAGGCTGCGGTCCGATTCACGTTTACAGTGCTGTAAGCATCGTTCTATCTTTATTGTTTATTACATGCTGAAGAAAGATAGAATAACACTTTACAGTGTGCTAGAGTGAATCGGATCGCGTCTATAATCAGATCTTACATTTAAAACCGTCACAAGTTTACCTTCAGATGCCGCAGCTCATTTCATTGGCTACGAAACATCTGAAGATGAACTTGAGATGGTCTTAAATACAAGATCCCATTATGAATATTGTCCTATGTGTAGTCGGTATTCACAGTCAGATCTTACATTTAAGATCGTCTCAAGTTCATCTTCAGATGTCCCACGGCTGATTTCATTGGCTACGAAGTATCTGAAGACGGTCTTCACACAAGATGCGGCCTATGAACACCGGCCTGTGGAAGCGGTGCTCAACCGCTTCACGTATTTCCTCAGTCTATGGCCGACGGCGCTGCGGCGCCCGGGCAACGTGGTCGGCCCTCTACACGAGTGCGCGAGCGGCGCCCCAGTAGCTACATTCGACGATCCGCGGTGGGTCATTTCTCGCGCGCGTTACAGCGTTATTCTCGCGTCCTCCGATCCCTCCGTCGGCTCGTGTCTGTCCAGCTCCGCACGGTGCGTTTCTCCTCGCTCGATCGTCGTCATCGTGCGCCACGCTTCTCGCGATCGGCCGCGTGAGGATATGTGATCGCGAGCCCACTCTGCCGAGCGCCGCCATTTTTGTCATTGTATTCGCGAGAACGATCTCGGGGAAGGACTCCGATGCTCGTCGGTGACGCATCGCGTCGGTCCCGTCGTCGCACCGTCGCGTGAGTCCTCGCGATACCGCTCGTCCCCCGAGTGTCACCGGACGAAACCCGCTCTCTCTCCCACGCGTTCCCGGCGTCCGCGGAGTACCGGTTTCCTCTCCGGCGAGAGGAACTCGCCCGGCTACGTACAGCGACTCGCAGGGGCTTTTGCTCGTGGACACGGCGCAGACAGCATCCCCGTGGCCGCTCCTTCGCCGCTGGGATGCAACATTGAGCGTCGCCGTGGCAGCTTTGCATCGACTGTTCGCAAGAGTGAGTAGAGCCTCTCTCTCTCTCTTTCTTGCGCGACTTTCGGATCGCCGCGTTTCTCATGATTCGCCTTTGTCACGGCGATCCGAAACACGTTTGCGGAAACGCACGCGATCTCCAAGGCGGATTCCGTCGTAGCGATCCTCGTGGAAGCGCGGCGACGGGGAAGTCGTGCGATTCCCGTTAGGCTCACTTTCGTACGCCATTGGTCCGCGAAAATGAGCCTTACGTTGGCCGTCGGGTAGTTTCCACCGGGAGACTTCGTCTCGACGTGATCGTGTTTCCAATCCAAATCCGGAGACGCACGTGTATCGCATCGCCACACCTGCCTCGTGTGAGCAGGTGTAACCGGAAGTGCGATCGGCTCAACGCGGAAGCATAACCTACACTCGGCCACCGTGACGCAACGGGTCTCTCTCGTCGGCATTGTTTTCGGCTGCCTTTAAATGTCATCCTTCTCCTTCCCTCCTGTCTCCCCTCTTGCGACTGACATAACAGCCCGATAACGTCGATAAGTGATCGCCGATCGCTGTCGCATCAATCATATGGTTGAAAACGCGCGAAGTGAATACCCGTAATTCCCGTAATTCGCCGTAACAACAGTGTACGCGTACACGTCGTGCGTTTGATTTCAAAGTGGTAGTTTTCGAAGGAAGGAAGGAAGGAAGGAAGAGGGGGAGGAACGAAGCGAACGATTAGATTTAGAAAGTAACGAACGCGCACGAATCATTTCGCTGATCGACGACGATGACGACGACGCGGCGAATGTTAATTAGCGCATCGGCGAGGCGACATGCGGTCTTGTACAAATATAGAGAGGTTCATTGTGCGCGCAGTTTCGCGTGCCATTTCAAGTAGAATCGACAGGATCGATTGCACCTGTGCGGACTGTCATTAACCTCGACGATCACGCATCCGGAATGATAATAACTGTCACTTCGTCGTAACGGCATTATACTCTCATTAAGATAAACCTGTTCCTCTCACTTTTACAGAGATACGCTTTCCAATAAACATGTAATATGCTAATTATTGTCGGGAAACACATAAGATATATATAGGATTATTTTTCTTCTAATTATTTATTTTGTATAATATCAGTCCTAGCTGTGTTATAATTATTATATCATGTTATCATTGTGATAATATATTATACCGTTATATACCATTCATTATTACAATGTAATGATTATATTATTTTAACGATTTAATTATTGCACACTGAGAGAAAAGTTGAGAAGATAAAAATATTCATTTGATGGATGCTATACGCAGAAAAATATTACTTATACTGCGAAGGAAAGCAATTATTCTTTTTATTTTGCTTCTTTTACATAACGATTATCTCGAATGAAGAATATTTTCTTGATAATAGTATAATAAAGTTAAAATATACTCATCATAAATATTAGAAAAGCTCATTATCATTTACTCAAAAGAAAAAATTGTTCTTTTTTCAAGAATAAACTTTATAAACTTTATCGGAGAAAAGTTAAATTCAGTTAATTGGAATAAATAAATGTAAGCTTTAAATTTTCAGTGTTTTAATTTAATATTTTTCATTGAAGTACTATATTTACTAGGATTGAAAATGTATTTTAAGTAAATTTGATGTGCTTATGATGAACTTATGATATATTTGTAAATATATAAACTTATGAAATATTTGAATCAAGAATAGGGTTTGAAGAACAAATAATTGCGTTTTTAACTACGGTTTTAAGAAAATAATATCTCTATATTTTTTTTTCATTTGAAACGATTTTTCCTCGGTATAAAAACATATGTATATCTGCACAGAGAAAAAAATTAGTTCAATCGGTGACTATGAATGAACTAAACTCGTTTTGATCGGAGAAAACAGAATTTCTGATTCTCATGAATCATATTCATTTATACAAATCAGAAATTATTCAATCAAAATGTTAATTCAATCTTTTTTCTTCATGTATGTAAGTAAATATTTGTATAATATCCGTCAAATACTTTTTACTTTTTATAGATATTTTTTTCTCTCGGTGTATATCCATTGTTTTTCTGTATCATTAATTGTTAACGTAGTTCGTTGTTAATATTAATTGCTAACATTGACGCGGTTAATTCTTGACGTTCTGGCTGTGCGCTGAATTTTTTTCGAACGTAACGCTCGCTCACACGACCGGATATCTTCCTTTTTTTTTTTCCTTTTATGCGCTCGCCGCGATAGCGAACGCCTTCCCCGAGTCCGAGTCCGATCCGAGTACGATAAACGGCGACGGTAAATAACGGTTTGGATGGCGAAGAGAGGAAAAGTCTTATTAAGTTTCACTCCGCGGGCTCCGACGAGAAAGGTATATATCCCAGAATCGCGGCGGAGAGAATTTCCACGACGGTCACGCTAGGCTGCTCACCGAAATATCATTAAGCTCCATAACGAACGAAAAAACCGCATTCGCACCTGGTGGAACCGCCGACACACACGTCGACCGATCGCGCCGGTTAATTATCCGCTAACGAAGTTTCACTCCGCGAGTCTCCGCGAGAGGCAAGGAATCGGGCGAGCGGGTAATTGCGGCGCTGTTGCGCCGAACTTTCAATTTACGCTTTGCCTTGGCGATTTCAGCGCGATCGAAGGATATACTTGTAATGATCGGTACGCAGGCCCGTTGCGTTTAATATCCTGCGTATCGATTTCGCGATTCCTCGCAGGCGGCTTCAAATCTGCAGCGCAACTCGACGAGGAAATAATTCAGCGCGTAGCTCATCTAAAAATCAAGGTTTCGTCCGAAGACCTCTTGTCGAGGTTCGAAAAGCCATGAGGTCGTTTGGAAAGGAAGGATCTTGCCGTGTTTTACTCGCGATTCGACACGGTCACCTTCATTCTCGCACTCTCCTCGGGAGATCCTCGAAAGTGACGGCGGCTTGCGCAGCACCGCACCGCGCGTGCAAATAGCGTGCGAGCAACACGGTAAAGGTCGATTCACACGTGCGCATGTCTTATTGCGTGCGTGTGTGCAAGGAGGCGGGATCGTTAGTGCTGGCCAGTGGACGCGATTTTTACGCCACCTGATCTGACGCTTCCCGAGTCGAAATTTTGATGCTATTTCGACGTCGAGGATTGCTCGTGCCTATTTAAACCCGGTTCGTTTTTTCGTTAACCTGTGATTTAGGCTTAATCTGATGATTACGTAAAAATTATGTTTCCCTATTTATAGTTAATTAGTACGGGTGAAATGAAATAGAAAAGAAGTATTATTTGCATCCTTTTCTAATGTACTAATGTTGTGCTATTTCAGTTGAAAATGAGTTCATTCAAAGTATCGCATATGTAACCTTCGGACCCTTCTTAATGAAATTACAATATTATTGGGAAGGAACAGGAGATAAACAAAAAAAATAGTAAAGTTCTGTGCTATAAAAAATGGTAAAAACTATGAATAATATGGTTCGAACATCACCTTTCCCTGGGTTAATACATTCGGGTGTTTGTAGAAAGGATTATCGTAGTAGAAATGTATCACGGCTTTTTTTCCTCCTCTTAAAATAGCACTTAGCATTCCAATATAGCGCGGAGTTCAGTGATTGATCGTGGTGGTCTTTCATTCATGGATACGCTGCCTTCGAAGATTGTCTTGCATCTCGGCTGAAATATGCACCATCGTGCATAAATCGCATACGTACTCTTAAACAGAATATCGTCCATTAAAACCAGCTTAATTTAATAAAAAAAATTCTTCTTGTAATCTTTACACTACTTTAATTTGTCAATTGAGTGCCTAGGTTTTTATATTTATATGATCTTTTTTGTTCGCGTTGATTATCTTATATGAATATACATAACCAGCTCCCTTTCTTTGAAACATACTGTATATATTTTCAAAATATAAGATAAATTGGAAATTGCCGAGATGAGAAACGCAGGGGACGGGTAGGGGGAAATTCGTAAAAAATATCTCTGTCTCGGAGAAGATGCGTGTTAACCCTCGAATAATAAGATTGGTCGAATCCGACCGGATCCATGTTCTAATATCTTCGCGAACACAAGCGTTCTATTTCAAGTATTTTGCGTATGTGCGACATATTTTATTTACTTTTCAATATTTTCTAACTTATTGTAAGGTAAAAAGTGCTTAGTCGAGAAAATTAATTGAAAAAAATATTACAAACTGCTTCTACGGGTCGGATTCGACCTATATGAACCTTATTATTCGAAAGTTTATTTTCTAGAATTAAGATATTATATCATAGTCAAAATAGGAGCAAGTTATATCGTTAGAATCGAATCTATATTTTTACTATCTTAGCTTCTACTGTGTTTTAGAATTAAACGGTTTAATATAGAGTCAAAATGTCGACTGGGTTTTGTTGGCGATTGTGAGTCGACCTTTACTTGGTAATGGTGTGTGCGAAGTACGTTACCGGTCCCAATGTTCCGTCGTCATGCCGTGAGTCATCGAATGCCAGTCGACCTCCTGCTAGACGCGGCAGCGATCGCAAAAACAGACCGCGTGTTGCACTTTTCACGGTGGTGCCGCGATCTTAACGCGTTGCAACGGAGTCGCTCGCTCTTCATTGAGCCTCGCGAAGGGCGTCGCGAAGAGGCATCTTCGGAGTTCTTGACTCCTTCAGTTCGGGGTGTACTGCGCCGCAAGTGTTGTGGAAGCGTTGGTCAAGCGCAAAGTCTGTTCTTGAATTCCGCGCGAGGGAGAAAATTCTTGAAATTTCTTCGAGTGACAGTCGAGTTATTCGAAGTCGAGTGACCTTCCACTCATTTAGAGCGGATTCCTCCACTCTGATTTATTGAGTGAATGTTTTCACCTGTAAGTGAAGGATGAATGTGAGTTGCCGTCACAAGAATACATTTATTCTGAATTGAAACATATTCACTCGAGAAAGATTCATAATTCACACTAAATTTCAGTGAAATATTTATTTTCCCAGTTCCGAGTGACAGTATTTTTACTGCCGCTTCGAGTAAATTTTTATTTGTTTTGATATTTTACGTTTGAAATTTCTTCGAGTGA